CCGACCGAAGGCTTCGGCTGCACGCGATTAGTCGAGGCCCATGCTGACGTCAGCCGAGTCTTGACCAATTCGCGTGTGGCCGCAACATTCGTTTTTTTTTTTTAGAGAGAGAGAGAGGGAGTGCTTTCCTAAGTGTAGAATTTCGCTGTGTTATCGGCATTGTTTCCTCGAGTTGGCTTTTTGTACTGCCTATTTATGGGCTCTAGGGCAGGAAGGGAAAAAATTTTGCACCAATCGGGATATTACTGTAGAAGGAAGGAAGGAAGGAAGGAAAGAAAATATAGGGAAAAGAAAGGCAGGGAGGTTAACCAGCCTATAGGCAGCCGGTTTGAAGGGTTTGGAGGGGCAAGGGGGGTGAATATTCTGACATTTAACCCATTTCCTGCCCCCCCCCCCCCGTTGGTTCTGTATATGGATTGTTTGAAGACAATCCCTTGCCCTAAATCTGTAGTGTGCAGTGAACACTCGCGAGCCAGTGGGGAGAGGGGCACAGTGATGTTCAGTGAAAATAGTTCAGTTTTGCATTTGTATGTAATACATGCCCACATACAAACACATACATAAAGAGCAGTTCTTCTCATCACCTCAAAATATTTCTTCCTACTCCACTCCTCATATATTTCGCGTTGCCTGTGTAAGTCACTTCCTTAGTTTCACAACATCCAGCTTGCACATATTTTTTGGAATAGCGCAAACATGGTATTTATTCAACTTTTTATTCTGATTTGCATTTGATAAAGATCTTGTTACTGATATTTTCAGAAAAAATAGCTTTGGAATGACATCGCACTCTGAATGCTTGTTTGTTCATTCATTGACAGGCTTCAACATCAGTGCATTGTGTGTTGGGTATAATATAAACTGCATAATGTGAATCGCGCTTCTTTATGACATCAGAAAACTGAAATGGCATAATCAGGTGAAGATGCTGAGAAAGTGTTTCTTTAGATGATAAAATAATGGAAGGTGCACTGACACACGACTGAACCACCTTTGTAATGAAATTGGTTCCTAGTATCTCCCTGAGATCTCAGGTCTTATTTTTCACTACCACACTATACAAATCATGCAACAGTTTACAAGGCTTTTTGTTCTTCAGTTATCTGTTATGAAAGACCAACTTGACCAAAAATCTGCACTCTTCGAATACAATAGGTAATAATGCATTAGTCATTGTAAGAAATGGCTGTTAGTTCAGCTCTAAAGTTAGCTGGATGACAAATATTAACATTCTGCTAAGGAATACCATTCCTGCAAATAGTTCTGTGGCAGTGGACGAAATAAATGCAACGATTCTATCTGGAATTTATTATGAACTTAGTGTTATATTTAATGACACAGGGTAGGGTAAAATTTCTATAAAATCTTAATTCGCTTTTTTTTTACATTAATTTAGTTTTTTACAGTGGGGCACTGACAATAGTCAGTGCCCCACGCAATTTTGTGCATTCGGATTGACGCCAAAAATTAGGGGACCCTAATGCTTCGCCTTCAGGAGTTGAACGCGATAGCAACATCCTATTCCTATTGCGTATTTCAAACACTTAGTGCATGAAACTTTTTCGAATTCGCTATGCGCCCACTATACGTGGCCTTAAAGGAATAGGCACAGTAGCGTGTGTGCCTTTTGCAGTGGAGTACCAGCTTTGAACCGCGGAGCCATTCTGGATAATCACGTATTCTGATGCCTGTTGACAATGGACGCTTGTACCATGCAATATTTCATGTTGCATTGTGAAGCATGTATACAGTATGCATGTGTTTGTGAAGCATAAAAGCTACTTGCACTGAATTTCTAAGCAGAGGAAGTTCTTTTCACTGTTTTTACAAGCAGAGCTGTAGCCGTGTGGTAGACATGCTAACAACCCGGGTTCGATACCCACTCGGACCCAAACAACCCTGGTTCGGTCCCCACTCTGCTCCAGGGCTTTTTTATCGTTTATTTATTTTATTTGCATCGTTCTCAATTTTTCAGTCTTGCATAAGATGATGATTTTTTGCTCACAACTAATGATGCCGACATCGGAATTTCTGCGAAATGGGCTTTTTAACGCTATCGTGTTAAAAGGACTAGGTTTTAAAGACCAACTGGTGAACAGCCTTGTCCCCTTTTCTCAGACGATGCACAACCTGGATTTTCTGCCTCAAGTAAACATGAAAAATCAGAACTAGTAGTTGCCCTGAGCTTAGCAGGTTTACAAAAAAAAGTATTTAAGATACTTTAAGGCTCATGGTGCAGTATTTTTTAACAAATGTGTCATTTAGAGAGTCGACTTGGCATGCGTGTGGCGAGACCCGCATGGAGACGGGGGTTGTGTGCATTTATTTTGAATTATTGTGAGTATAGCTGTGCTTAATAGATTTTGTTGTGGCAGGAAAAAAATATTCTCGTGTTGACATATCAGAGAAACCATTGATAAAGCGAGGTATAATTAGAAATATACATGGTTTGGTTACTAACGGAAACGAGACCGGGAACACTCGTGCGAGCAGTTCGGCAAGTAAGCGTCGTTCTCATTTTGCATCCCAGTAAGAACAAAATGTTACCCGTATTGACAGTGGCTACACTTTGATTTATATGGATCCTCTACAAACGGTGCTTATGAGTGACGCATGTCTGCACAGTATGCTGAGGAACCGGGGCATTCATAGATTGCATAATTGATCATGGTCTTTGGAATGGAAACCCTCAGAACTGCCACCTTTGAAACCGTACAACTTTCAAAAAGGCCTGCATGGCCAGAGTAAACTCTTTTAGCTTCGTTTGACATGCCACTGAGGTGCAGCACTGCGATACAACTGGATGAGATTGACTGCCAATAATAGTATTTGACTTTGCAGACATAAAAGAGGAGACATAACAAGCAAGAAAAGGAAGAAAACGTGAGAAGTAGTGAAAGGCTGATTTATGTGGTGACTAACTGGCAAGTTAATACTAGTTAAATTGTTCATTACATTTTAATTTTTAATCATACATGAAGGCAACTTGTTTTTCCTCTTTAACTTGCAACATGTTCAAGTCAAGTTGTTACTGTTGTCCCATTATCAAAACAACTTAAAAATGCTGAAGGCTGATTTTCACCACAATTAACCAAACATCAGTAAAAAGCTTCCGACTAGAAAGAATAGTGTGTTTCGACGAGTTCAGCGAGCTCCTAGGCCACACCTCAGCCACCTAGTGACGATGAGCGAGCAATGATGATGTCGACAATTTTAGTGTTGTCATTGTAGTGTCTACATGTGGTGTTGTCTGGCGGCGATGCCTGGCTGCTTAGCAATGACTTCACTTGCTTTGGTTTGCTGGGCTCGTGCAGCGCATTCGTGTTATTCCTGTGTTTTTGCTGTATTGCTTGGGGTGATTTGTTGTGGAGACGTGAACAGGAATGAGATTTTTTGAAGCTGCCATCTCCAGATCCCGATTTCTTCGCGAATCGCGGAACGACGGCTATTGATAGTCGCAAGGCAATGCAACGTATCGATACTAATGAGTGGCAGCTGGAGCACCGCAGCCTCGCTACTTCCAGTGTAAAAAAGAAAGAAGAAAAAAAGATGGTCTCGTGGTTAACCAAAACGTGCGCCTGCGGAAAACGAGCCGTGCTTCACTGCAGCACAGGGAGGACACGCGGGCAGCTTATCGCATGTTTCTCGCAACGTGAGTGGAATCATGGTTTACCCTTTCTTTCTGGTATTGTAAAGAAATTATTAAAGGGCAGTTTAGTGGAAATCGCGATGTATGCGAACCTCTGATTGCTACTTGCTCCAGCAATTCGCGTCTTTTAAGTGCTGGCGGAGTTCTTGCCAGCAACACCTGCTTCGAAAACTAAATTCGAAAGCTTCAAAGATTTCTAGCCAAAACACATCGTGAGCTTTGTCATACTGGCCATTAATAAGCTCATAATTATAATAGAAAGCATGTGCGAATGGTCGCATCATGACGTGCTGCCGGAGCGGTGAGCAAGCGATATGCTGCCCGCATGTCACTACTGTGTTGCAGTAAAGATGTCTTCTACAGGCGCACATTTTAGTCAATTATGACCGCGTTTTTCTTTTTTGTTATCTGGTAGCAGCAGCGAGCCCCATCATTCCTTCATGTTCGCGGCAAAATAAAGACCAGGTATTGCTGAAAAACATAACCTTTGGAACCACAAGCTAGCCGCGACAGCAAACGATGAGCACTGATTAGTTTGAATAGTTCCAAGTTCCTTGCATCCCATTTCTTGTATGTCCTGTTAATTCGAAAATCCGCTTAATTTGAAGCTTTCTCGCGGCCCCAGTGACTTCAAATTAACGAGGTTTTACTGTAGTTGATGCCATTGCTCTTTTGAAATACATGGGAGGTATAGGGCTTACCTTGTGCCATTAAATAACGGGAGGTGTAAGTGATTGGTACAGTGGATGATCTTATAGAGCAAATAGAATAGGACAATTAGTCCCCATAAATGTAAAGAGTGTGGATTTAATGTTTATTAGGCTAACTGATCTAACTATATATCAAGTTTGCTGCTCATATGACAGCTTTTGTCTTGCAAGTTTCAAAACCCAGAAGTTCGTCATGTGGGAGCACCATAACATTGTTAAAGCAAAACTGAAGGGGGCTGTAGAAATTTGATATTGGGTTGCAAGATCTGGGGCTGTATTGTCAACAGACGTGCTGTGCATTGAATCTTAACTATAAAAACTGGATTTCATTATTAGAAGGCAACTTGTGTGCGAAAGCCAGACCCAGTCCCCTGTCTTGAAAGGTAAAAATAGTCTTGCTAAATTCCTCAGGCTTATTGTGTGGATGTGTAATCACTAAATAGCCATTTTAAAACTTGAAGATTTTCACTGTTGCTGCTGTCAAGGTGTTTATCCGGCACGTGTCTTGTGACTTAAATGTATACGAGGTCTGTTAGAAAAGCATGTGGCCTTTTTTTTTTTTTTTTGCGGGCATCTGATGAATTTGAAACAAGCGCGCTTGCATGGTGACTAACGTCGCCTGTGTTTCCTGTTCTGTGCAGCGAGTCTGGCAGCAACAACATCCCGCTGATGCGCATCGTCCAGAGCGTGCGGCACACCAAGCGCAAAGGTGGCGCCAAGCTCTTCAAAGAAGGCTGGCTGGTGCACTGTACAGACCGGGACCCCGTGCGGCGGCGCCACTACTGGCGCCTGGACAGCAAGGCCCTGACCCTGTTCCACTCGGACACGGGCTCCAAGTACTACCGCGAGATTGCTCTGGCCGAGATTCTGTCGGTGGACCCTCCCAGGAGGCCCGACATTGGCTTCGAGCTGCGCACGGCTGCGGGTGCCACCTACCTGGTCGGCGATGACCGCGACCAGGCACGCCCTTGGGAGTTGGCCCTGCGGCAGGCGCTCATGCCAGGTCGCCCGGCAGGAGGACGAAGGCAACGGGCAGCACAACACGGTCAGTTGCGTTAGCAAGGGCACCATATCTGGTTGTCCCTGTCATTTATGTATTTCCATCTCATAGCCTTGGTTTTTATTTTAGGTCATTCGTAGCCAAACAGTACAGCCATTTCGGCATCCATCTCAAATGTGCGAAGAAAAAAAAGTGCTGATTTATTGCATATAAAAGGGTGAATTGCTGGGATACTTTAGAAAGAAGAAATGTTTTCTTCACGTAGGAGCCTACTGACTTTCGCCTAATGTCTTCCGAGTACTGTTTGTTAGGAGATTTCGGGAGTACTGTTTCTCATTTCAATACCTAATTTGGCTTGTATATAAACAAATTTACTGCATTTTTTCTGTCATAGACGCCTACAGAAACTTAGCCAATATTTTCTGTTTAGATTTCTTTTCTTGTAATATTGCATTACAAAGAAATCTCTGAGTAATCAATACTTACCCTGCAAAAGGTATGTTTCACTTTCAAAATTTTTTCAGAGCACTGAAATTCATTAATCTTACGAGGAAAAAAAAGATATTTGAGAAAATTTTTTTTTGTTCACATTCAGGCACAATTCACATCATGTGGTGCTGCAATTAAATATCAGGTTTACACCGTAATTGAGAGCAAATAGTTTTGCTTGTATGGCAATTTCTCTCATTACATTTTTTGTTAGCATACAGACAGACACAAAGCTTTACTTTTTTGGTTTAGTATGTGAAACAAGAAAGGACAATCGCAAGGATTGACTGTCACTTCTTCTTTTGCTAATTGGTTTTTTTGTGTATTGGTAAATTTCAATTTCACAATCACTGAAACGCCGTTTTTACCGCAACACAATGCTTGGTAAGCGAGAAAACGTACGAAAAGAAACTGTGGGGAAAGACTCCACCTAAAGACTCTCGCACCAAGCCCCACGATGTCAGTAGATTTTTAAGGCATCTACTGGGTCCTATGCAACTTCTAATCAATAAAAATGAAGTATACTGTCATCTTTGGCATCCTTAGACCTAGCATACGAATTCAGAGAAAATATAGTTGAGCCAATGTCTGGAAAATACAAAAAAATACATTTTGAAATTTTGGACGTCACTCGCGCACATTTAGGTACGAAATTTAAAAGGGAAACTTCAACCATGATTTTCTGTGCTAATAATCAACTCATGACAGTGAAGCTTGTGACATTAGAGTTCTCAGAGTTCAGTCTGTCAATCTAAATCAACTCATTGTTCCTTTTCAGTGCCCCTTTAAAAGAAAACCACTTGAATTGCAATTAGAAGTGCCTGTGAGAGCGAACATCCGAAAGTTACTGCCACACCATTTTGCTCCCCCAGTTGAGATTCGTAGACTAGTCATCTTCAAAATTCTGTGTCTGTTCACTTTAATCTTGTGTGCTGCGCTTTGTTAGACCACATTCAGACGAACATTGTTCGTGTTGGCTCTGTCCATCAAAAGATTATTTCTAAAGTAGAGAATGCGAAAGGATACAAAATTTTTGCCGTTAGTGACATGCTTGTTCCATTAACATTTGCAGGACATCAGTTTACGGTACCAGATCTTCCCAGATGAAGTTCTGGGATCAGGCCAGTTTGGCATCGTCTATGGAGGTAAGTAGCACCTTGGGATTCATCGATTGTTCAAGCTGTTTTAGCTGTGGCACCATGCGATACAGTGCAACTGAAATACAAAGTGTGGCAGCTTGGGCTAGTTGGTATGGCATGACGATAGTTATAGCGTGAGTACAAAACGACGACACAGAGACAAGAAGGACAAGAAGGTTAGTGCTCGTGTCTTTCGTGTCCTTCTTGTCTCTGTGTCGTCGTTTTGTTCTCGCGCTATAACTATCGTCATGAAATGCAAAGTTTCAAGTGTTGAAGCTTCAGACTAATCAAGTAATCGTTTCATTCTTTAACTCTCCGCACTATTCATATTGAAGGTATAATTTTAATCACTGATTAGGCTCAAATAAATATGGCCACTTATGGCTGCATTGCATATCTTTGAATTAGCGTACTGCACCAATGTGTAGCTGAAGTTAGTGGTGGTACCCTGAATATCAGCTGTTCAATACTTCTTGATGCCCCCCACATTGACAAATCCAAGGTTCTCCTTCAAAAATTTTAAATTTTTCATGCGTATACAAATGTGTGCACAAACATGCACAAAGGTTGGTTTAACTCACCCATCCCTCCCAAGAAATTTCTGGCTACAACCTTCTTTTGTCATTGAATCTTCCTACATCTTGAATTGCCCTCACCAAGAACAAAAACTGAGACCAACAGCATAAAACACAAGCCTGTTTGGGTTCACACATGTGAACATGTGGCCAACATGTATAGTTGCACTACCTTTCTCAGTGAACATTGTGTTACCCAGCTTTCCCTTGTTAATTTTTTTTTAAGAATTAATCAGTCAATCTATCAATTGTAACCTGCAGGTGTGCACAGAACAAGTAGCCGTGCTGTGGCCATCAAGGTGATTGACAAGCTGCGCTTCCCGACCAAGCAGGAGGCACAGCTAAAGAACGAGGTGGCCATCCTGCAGAACATCCACCACCCGGGGGTCGTCGACCTCGAGAAGATGTTTGAGACAGCTGAGCGCATCTTCGTCGTCATGGAGAAGCTCAAGGGTGACATGCTCGAAATGATCCTCTCTTCCGAGAAAGGGCGGCTCTCCGAGCGTACCACCCGTTTTCTCATCTACCAGGCGAGTGTAGTTGCGTCCTCACATTATCCACAGTGGCAGATTTCTATGTTTAAGGTGGTGTTACGCAGACCTGTTCAATTCACTACTTGCAACTACGAGTGCCGTTCTCGTAACAAGAGAATCATTCTGTTATGAGAACCACCTGGCGTGCGCACTAGGTGGGCCATACGCTAATCCCACTCATTCATTATTGCTCCTTTTTAGCCATTTGTAATTTTTTCACGTTTGAAACAGCCGAAATTGTTTCTTGTGCGAAAAACCACGTGAGCAGTTTTTGGAAGAATAGCTTAAGTACATTTTGTGATACCTTTAAAATGCATTGTGTGATTGTTGTTTAATTAACTAACTCATGTACCCACTCCTGCTTTGTATTGTCTATGAAGACAGCAGTAGTACTTGTAAAATAAAACAATAATAAGTTCACACATGGGGACCTGTTCAGTTCGCCTACAAGAAGTAAATGCTTGAGCTATCAAGTTTTACCAACTGTCTTATGTGTGGGTGCTTTTGCTGTGATGTGCAGATTCTGATTGCGCTCAAGCATCTGCACTCCAAGAATATTGTGCACTGCGACCTCAAGCCTGAGAACGTGCTGCTTTCCTCGGACTCGGAATTTCCTCAGGCAAGTCGCATTCATCACCTTGTCAGCTGGTGCTTCTCTGGATTGGTGTCTGTTCACTCCAGTGGTTTAGTAGCTAGTGTGTTACACAGCTAGGCTCGAGAGCATGGTTGGAATGCCCTGCCACAGTGGCCGTATTGCCAAGGACAGGTGTATCAAGATGTAAGCACACTTCGAAGAATCCCAGGTGGCCGAGATTACACCAGAGTCTCTCACCATGTTCTACGTCATAGTTGTATGTAAAATGCTAGAGCTTAATATAATAACTTCTTCACCCAATGCTTCTCTGGGGAGCATCAGCAGAGGATTCCGCTTTTGCTTTTTGCCGTTCAAAAAAAATTCACTGAAGCGCGAAGTTTAAAAATTCATAACTCTTGTATAGCACCCTGTGGTGGATAAACTATTACCCATTGAAAAAAAATTTATTTGGACGAACCTCATGTACATATGAGTTGACAGCTAGCATAAACTGGTTACAATGTTCGTAAGAAAATTTCAAAACTCCTAGTATTCACAAATGAGGGGAGTATTTCAAAACAGTCCAGATTACCTTATTACTATTGAACCACTTTAGATGTATTGTTAGGTGCTGTTTACAAAACTTGCATGCTTTTTTACTGTTGACTGCAACTTGTGAACTGGGCACTATAAGTGACTTTTCATCTCGCTTTTTCTAATTTTAGGCATGTTTGAGAAGTGGATGCCATAAGTAAATAGTGCACCTCCGACAGTCGCTAAATTTACCATGCGATACATTTGATTCAGTAACCTGTTGCCATGAAAAATGCTTTCTCTGTTCATATGAATCTAGTACTTTCAATGTAGGAGTCGCTGAGCTAAAGCATCCTATCAATCCAATAATTGAACACCACTTTTATTTTCCTGCATTCAGGTCAAGCTGTGTGACTTTGGCTTTGCCCGCATCATTGGCGAGAAGTCATTTCGGCGATCGGTCGTCGGCACCCCTGCATACCTAGGTACACTAATATGCTTGCATTTCTTAAGGGGAGGACATGGCAATGGGAATAGTGATTTTGGTCAAAGTGCTCAATTTTGCTGTTATTTTTTTTTCTGCAGACCTTAGATCATGTTTTGTGTCATAGGGAAATAATAACCAACATAAGCAGTAGAAGTTGAGGAAGAAGCAGTTTACTTATGTGCCGTCATAAAAACTATAAGAAAATCATGATTTAGAAAATGCAAATCTACAGCTTTTGCTTAGCACAGTGCCGCCACAGTGCCATCATTGTAACGAGGACAGGCCAGAGCTCAAGATGGCCACAAATCTGCATTTCTGCAATGAAAAGTCGAACCAGCGTCCTTTTGAGTCTGTTTATCATCTTTTAGCTCCATTTTCTGTGAGTTACATTAAATTTCTGTGAGTTACAATCGAGCTCCATTTTCCGTGAGTTACAAGTCGACAGAATAGCATGCCCTATCCTGTTGAATTTATTTTTCTGTCTATGTGGGTTGTGTGCTTTATATTTCTTGAGTTACATTTTCTCAGCTTTCATTTTTTGAGCAGTTGGTGTCAGTCATCCCTGTACCATTTCAGATACAATACAACCGATTTCAGGTACAATCTCTGCACAGAAAATCGTACCTGCATGTTAAATTTATCATTTTATCTCTATAAATAACAAATAGTTTTCATTGCTACGTGCTATGGCTGGCTTTGAAGTGTTTGGCATCAGGAGTCTGCTAGCCTGACATAACCCAGGTTTGGTTAGCTTAGGTGAGGCATTCCCACTACTGACACCTATATGTTCTCATATAAAGGTAGAACTGTGGCAATTTCGGCAAGTGAGACCAAATGCAAATTTATAGTGCCACAATATTTCAGGAAGTCATTAAGAAAAGAAAAATTTATTGTTTCGCTTATGCAAGAATCAAACCTGCACCTATGAAATAAAGAACAAATAATGAGCCTAACTTTTTGGCACCACGAAAACCTCACTTTCAAATGAGGCGTGGTGGAAGTCTAACTCGTGGGAGAATGCCACACACAGAAGATGCCCGAATGTGATTGTGTGCTTTTAAAGATTTATTTAGACGTATGCTGGTTTTATGAGAACTTCTAGCTAATTGGTCAGAGAATTGGATGCTGAGTGAATGTCTCTATCATCATCCTTGCCCTGTTTTCCAAAAATCCTGAAGTTGAGTTGAAGTCCAGCAATTTTGTACGGAGTACTGACCTTGAACAATAATTCTACGGGGCTCGTAGATGTAGAAACAGGGGAGCTACGCTCACTTGAAGGAACATTGAAAAAGAAACAGTCTTTCCAGTACGTATAAGCAAATTACTCCTTCACGATAACAAATATACCATGCTTGCTGCTACAAGACGCTTGGGAGGCGAGAAAACTAACAAAAAAAGCATAGATTTTTTTACAGCTTCTGCTAGAATGTACATAGTTCCTAATCAGTAAACATAAACTATGTTGTCTTCTAGGGAAGCCAAGAACATAACGTACCAAGTTTACGTATATTTCACTAATCCAAAATGGCCAGAATACAAAAAAAAATTAATAAATGAAACAATTGAAAAGTCATGATGTCAATTTCAAAGATTTCGGCGAAAATGGTAAAAGTGATTCTTCTGACATTGATGTTTTCATAGTGGTGAAATTAACAAAACTACAGCTTTCATATAGAATTTATCAATATAATCTTATTTGTTGTTTCACTTCAGCGTTCCTTTAATTAAATGATGGAATTCACTTATACGATGGAGCAGCGAAAGCATTCGAAAAGTTAATCGCAAATGCTGCTGCTACTCCAAATGACACATTGCACTTCTTTCCTTGCAGCACCCGAGGTGCTTCGTAACAAAGGCTACAATCGATCCCTTGACATGTGGTCCGTCGGTGTGATCATCTATGTCAGGTACTGTCGTCTTCAGGCTGTAGATCTGCAGTTTATGTGTCACGGTTCAAAGCATATCTTCCACTGTACGCTTCCTCAAATCTAGCTGCATACTAAATGTTTTCACACGAAATGTTTGCAACTAAATTCAGTAACTTCGAATAATAATACTAAGCTATCCCTCAAGTAAATGCAACTGACTGTCATGAAACAAAGTAGCACCTCACATGAAAATTCCCCCTCGATATCTAGTATTTCATCGTGAGCATATTTGCTCTACACTAATGTAAGCTGGAAACACTTTTCAAGATTTACTTTGTTCTATTCATTTTACACCCGAGTTCACCTGTGTTGCTTGTTGCTGTTTTCGTGTTTATGCTTGGGCTGCTTCTTGCAAGTAAAAACTGTAAAATTCAAGGTAAAAATGCAAGGTAAAACTGTTTTGTTCTTGCCAGCCTTGTGGTCTCTTTTGCACATGCTTATTTTTTGTCAACTAAAATTTTTGTTTTCTTGGGAAGCTGTGCATGTTCCTGTTCCTACTGTTTCGATTAATACCACATTTTGTTTTCTTATAAAGTAACTATTGATCATTAAGTTCTTAAAGGCCAGCAGCCATAAAATTTGTAACCATGTCAAATAGTTCCAGATACTGCACGTTGTGGGAATTAAGGCTAGCCCGCTACCTTTGGCGGGCTTTGCCGCCTTTTCTGCCGTTCTCATGTCCCGACATATCTCCCGTCCTCTGCTGTCTGCCGCGCTGGGAAAGGGGAGTGACGTTTAACCCGCTCACCCGGTCGCGGATGTTGACTGTGGTGCAGCGCGCGGAGTCTCTCAAGAGGCTTTCGCGTGCTGCGTCGGGAGCGGGCAGATAGAGACTCTCCGGGACTGCAAATGGTGAGCCACGCAATCTTTTCCGTTCGTCAACTCCTGTCGCTTGGGGGCTCGTCAGACTTCGCTGACGGCGCCCGAGGCGAGCGCTCACCTTTTGTTGCCCCACTGCGTACGCATGGCCGAAGGGTCGTACGGTGTCCTAGTGCGTGGCCTAGCTACGCCGACCCGTCTCCCTCCGAAGCCAACGCAAGTGCCTTTGCTCTCGCTCAAGCAACCGGGCCTTGGTCCCGGTGCCTACCACGGAGGTGTGCTCGTGGCACCCTGTGTAGTACTTTTATGCCTGTGGCGTGGGTAAGCCCATTTGCTTTCCCGCTGCGCCTTTGCAACGGGCTGTACTGCGTTTGGCGTTGCCACAATAAAGTGTTGCGACTGAGCACCATCGTGTTCTCGCCACGGCGACGGTTAACGCATGCCCTGCGGCTCGCTAAGACCGGACCCACGCTAGTGGCCATACTCCTTCGGGATACGTGTCACTACACTGTACGCAGTGGGGGCAACAAAAGGTGAGCGTTCGCCTCGGACGCGAGGCGCCGTCAGCGAAGTCCGACGAGCCCCGAGCAACGGGAGTCGAGGGACCGAAAATGTTGCGTGGCTCACTGTCTGCTGTCCCGGAGAGTGTCTGTTTGCCTGCTGTCGACACAGCGCGCGAAGACTCCGCGCGCGGCGCCACAGTCAACATCCGCTACCGGGTGAGGGGGTTAAACGTCACTCCGCTCTCTCAGCGCGGCAGACAGCAAAAGAGGGGAGACATGTAGGGACATGAGAACGGGAGAAAAGGCGGCAAAGCCCGCACAAAGGCAGCGGGCTAGCCTCAATTCCCACAACGTGAAATTGGAAAAAGCTTGTGTGCTTGAACTATAAGTGAATGTGAAATATGGCTGAAGACCACGAAAATAGCCATTTCTGTTGTTGATGCTGGTTATTTAGACACCACCATCATCGCTAGGTTTGAATGTGCAACCTAGTGTGATGAAATCCAGTGTAGCTTTTCAGCATGAAATCAGATTTTGTTATGACCATAGTGCATTCAACGTGGTAGAGATGATGTGCCAAAATTTGCATCATGTTTGCTAACCTCCAGATGTGTGCGTTGAACAGTTACCACCCAGTGAGGTATGTTAAGATAGCTTCAAATATGTCCTTTGTGCTGCTAATTCAACAAAACTGAAAGGCTATTGCAGTTTGCCATTAGTCGGGTGGTCTGTTTAGGATACGACCAAGGTTCCACAAGACTTCACACTTTCCTGTATTTTTTGCGTGGTGAGCAATGAATTTGACTGACGGAAGATCTGCTTTCCTCTGATGCAGTTTAAGTGGGACATTCCCGTTCAATGAAGAAGAAGACATCAACGACCAAATTCAGAATGCAGACTTCATGTACCCCCCCAATCCGTGGAAGGACATATCCCCAGAAGGTAGGTAACTTCCCTATTCGGGTGTGAAACACGCGATGCTAGTGTGCCATTTCTCTAATAAAGCTGACTCCCATTAAACAGAATCTGGAGGGACCAGTACAATATGTTCCGTTTAACAGGAGTTATGTTTACAGAAGACTAACAAGGGTGCAGTATACCAGCACAAAACCAATCTTGCCAGAAGTGTTTGTTTCATTTAAGCAGAAGTTTCATTTGACAGATTTCTGTTTACTGAGGGTCAGCTGCTATAACTTAATCCTTCATTACTGGGACTCGCCGATGTTGCCGTGGTCGGGAATTATTCAGGATGTTTGAAAAGTGGTGCTGAAAACATTCTTGTGTGAACAAATGCAGAATCAACAGGCAATACAATAATGAAAGTCTTTTGCAAGGCTCTCTCATTGTGTTGAGCATGCATCACATAATGTGAATTGCCACAGGACTCCTATTCCTTGAAGTGCTTTTATGAGCCAGAATGTGCTCTTATTCAAAACTGAAACCTCTTTGAATTCACTTAGCTTACAGAGGCAGTTTCTGTAAGATGTGAGTGTCAGTTCTCCGTGGCACTAAAGGCTTGTATGAACTCTTTCAAACGGTCCGATAAAAACATGCTGTTCTCAGAGATGCTGCGTTATCAAAAATATGCATGAATGAAACTTTATGAGACAATTCAAAAGGAGCAGACAGGTTCGAAGGTGAAGAGCTACTTGGACATAGCCCGAGTGTGCCTGTGGAGTTAAATACATAAGCTATAATGAATGAACATCACGGATGAAGCATGCTTGTGCATTGACATTTGCATAGGTGCTTCTTGAACTTTGTTACTGGTATGGTGAGCATGTTGCGGTGACTAAAATGTCGGGAGGGAGGAACTGAGGGTTGACTGCGTTGTTTCAGCGGTTGACCTTATCAACAACTTGCTCCAAGTGAAGACAAGGAAGCGCTACACGGTGGACAAGTCCCTAGTCCACACCTGGCTGCAGGTGAGCTGCTCCTCGCAAATGTCTATGCGTGTTCAGCGGGATTAAAATCTAAAAGAAGAGAGTTCAGCCACTTGTTTTAAGTTAACGTTTGTTGGGGGTGTTATTACCTCCTGTAAAGCCGTTTGCGCCTTATGGCACGCACGTCTTGCTGATAAGCCACATTTAGGTTTAACAGTCGCCCAGCAGTAGTTAGCGCAGTTCTTGCGTGTCTTCATCATCATCATAATTAGTGCAGTAACGCCATCAGCGTGTCGCCTGGCGGTGAGGCTAGGTGGCTGCACAGAAAAGATAAGGGAGTCCCTTTGGCGTTAGGGCGGCAATCGCGATGGACATCAGTTGGACATCCTGCAGAAGGTCCATAGAGTGGCAACGGCAGGTCATGTTCCATGCTGAGGCAGCACCAGAGGTTGACAGGAGGAAGCAGGGGTCCTTCAAAAATTTTTGCCTGCCACCCCCCTCCCTAAAAAGAAACATAGTCATAGCACAATGGCTAAGTTCTCTGCCTCCCTGGCTCCTCTGAAGAAACTCGCCTACCGTGGGTGCCCCCCGGTAATATAATCCTAGTGCCACTCCTAGTCTCGTGAATCCCTCGGAGTGAGTCGGCCATCGGCGACGGCGCATTCGCGGCACTTTGTTGTTGTTTTGTTTGAATGTCATATTGGGAATATTGATAAGGTTGTTTTAGCGTGTGATTAGTGATGTATTTCATTTGGCTGATGATATTGATTGTAAAAGTAGTTGAATAAATTCACAAGTGTTCGGTGTGGTTTCGCCACGACTGCTGTGTTTCAAGAGTGGCATTCTGTCATCTCAGATCGCACACATTCTAAACGGCATTGTTAATGCCCATTGAAAATGTGGCAAAGGGCGACAGCAAGAAAACTGTTTGGCTGGGGCCTAACCGCATTAGGGCATTGAACTCTCGACAGCTGGGAACCTTTTGTGCATCTAGGCTGAAGTTTAATGTTGAAGCAGTTTAGACCGATAAACTATTCTTCTGAAGCCCTGCTGTCGTTACTGCCACCACTGTACATTTAGTAGAAATGAAAATTTTTATATTTTGCAAGAAAAGTCTCCACATGAAATTCAATGTGATTTCGCACTTTTCAAAGTGTTTTTTTTTTATTTTGGCTGTATTGGCTTAAAAAGAATTCTTGAAACTTGGTGTGTTAGTTCAAGTCTCTGACCTCCCATAGATAACAATGTACTTCGTTTTTACAGATTAAGAACTACTGTTGGTTCTAGTAGACACTGCCAAAATTTATGACATCACGACTAATGGCGCGGGAGCTTCAAGACGGCATTGCCACCAGCATGTCCTTTATTTTGCACATTTTCTAGGTTATAAAGAGTCTGCTCGATTGATTTGATGAAGGCAGTAGTGCATTTAACGAGACATTGGAAGTGCATTTCGGCAGGAATTATGCTATATTTTTGCCCTCATAGAAATGCTTCCTGCAAGCAGATGATTATTACCTGTACAGTCAACTGCCCATTTTTCGGACCCTCTAGGGAGCGAAAAACCGTCCAAAAATTCGGGCAGTCCGAAAAAATGAATGCAAGCAAAAAAAAAACGCATTATTTTACTGATAGTTTTCAATGCAAGCAAAAAAAACGCACCATTTTGCTAATATTTCTCAATGCAAACAAAAAATACACCATTTCATTGATATTTCTCGAATCAAGAGGGTCAAGGTCGAAGTACCAGACTTCCGGAACTCTGCCAAAGCATCAGTGGGGTGGCTCTAAAAAGAGCCGTTAAAAAAATGCATGCAGCCGACAGCGGGTGCCGTCAGGGCAGCCGATGTTAAAGCTGTAGTGGCTTGAAAAACTTGTTGATCCTTGTTTGAACGGCGTTCCGCTTGCATGTGATCACATTCGCCTCGATCTGAGCAAGGGTCATGTCATCGCTGTACACCGATGACAGCGTCGTCAATGCTCGCATCGATTCGGCAGCCGTAGGTGGCACAGCCGTTGGTTCCTCATTTTCGACGTCAGAGTCATCTGAATCCGTCTGAAAGGAGTTTGCTGACGAGCGTCGAAGCACCTACGCTTAGCATTGCAGAGCACACTCCACACGATCACACAACGACGCACTAGGCTAGCCAAACACCATGTGGGCTGCGTAAACAAAACGGCGCGACGGCAAGTGACAATGCCTCGGGTAGAGTGTACTAGAAGTGTAGCCAGCGTGGCCAGACCAAATCGGTGTGTGACGGTTAGTTCTAGTTCGAAGTGGGGAAACCCTTCGCGAAAACGCTGCGCTGGAAGCCAGTGTGGCACGCAGGAGCACAAGCGCTAAAGCGAAAAGAACTTTATTGGCGCCAAAAAATTTCCGGGTGGATAGTTTTGATTGTCAGCGAAGCACCCTTGCACAATAAACACGGCCAGTGTTAGGAATCTCGTAGGCCGTGTGTGTTTTCGCTAACGATCAACGAGTCCAAGCAACAGATGCCGCCACAGTAGACCGACGCGCTCATTTATGTGATCGTAATCGCGTGTGACACAGTTGTGGTCGTTTCTACTGGAGGTTAGTGGTGGTTTCCGACCTTCCATCGCATCAAAAAGTCCAAAAAATTGAACTCCGGGGGGTTCGAGCGTCCGAAATTTGAGACTTCCTTACACATTGATTCTATAAGGCTCGTGGCGGTGCCGCGAAGATGTCCGAATGATCGGGCATGTCCGAAAATTTGGGTGTCCGAAAAATCGGCAGTTGACTATAATTTGAGAAAGTCTTTGTCAAGAAATACATACTGCCTGTACAATAAACCTGCTTGTACATACAACCCGTATTACAAGCAGTATGTGCGGCCTGTAATGTGTGCAGCCTGTAGAGAAGTATGCGCCGTCTGTGCAATGATTAAATGATTAGTTACGTAATAATTAAATTAGGCACTGAAAAACACATTTATTCTAACATGTTCATTTGCTTCAAATTTTTTTGCCAGTGCCTTGTCATCACATTATGTAAATTTCACAAGCATATAGACAGTCTATCATGATGTGTGTTGCAGAGGGTGATACCACTCCTTCAATAATATCCTGATAGTCAAAGTGATGTGGGCTAGTTGGTTTGGGTCACTTGCATTCATATTCGTAACGCAAAAAAAGAACCAGTCAGAGACACAGATGGAATACATATACAAGACTAGCGCCCATCCTGCATATGTGTTCCTTATTGTGTCTCTACCAGGAGACACAATACTACGAATATAAAATTTTGCACTACGAATATGAAATCAGATATTCTGATAGTGCTGTAGTGCATGGGAAAAAGTTAATGAAGAAAACGATCATATGTGTGCAGGACTACCAGACATGGTGCGACATTCGCGAGCTGGAAAGCCAGGTTGGGGTTCGGTACCTGAGCCACGAGTCAGATGACTCGCGCTGGGAGGCGTATCGGCGCGAGAAAGGGCTGCAACCGCCGGCGCCCGCCCCGCCGTCCACTCCGGCGCAGTCGCAGCAGCAGTCGCAGCAGAGCCTCCACCACACTCCAGCACGATCACGACTTTCGGTGCAACGGGAGGAAGAGTCGTCCCCAACGTGTGGTCGTGTTCGCCTCTGACCCTCTGCCGTCGCGGTTTCCTATATTTTTCCCCAATGGGGGTAAAAGGGCTAGGGTAAGCAAGGTCCCGGTACGCATCTGGAGGTAGCACCATTTGCCGCTTTGGGTGTTTTGTTCTCTACGGTTATCTCTGCTGCTGTCTCTCTTTCCTCACTACTGTTGGCAGTAAGACTACGAACAGCTTACATAATTGCCAATTTCAAAGCCTTTTATCAGCCATATTCCATTGTGAAAGAGGAACGGAAGGCTAGAGAGGTAGATGGTGGCAAGGTGAAAAAGAAAATGGCGCTACCTTCAGGTATTGCTGGACCATGAGTGTAAATGCATTTACCGCACTGGGAGAGAAAGCTCGCCGCAGTGGTGCGTCTCAACCAGTCATGAGGTCTTGCTGGTATGTTCTTAGTCGACCACCTTCACCGGTGGTACACCCATGTGGCACCACACAAAGGCATGAACCTTAATGTAGTCGTGATTGCTTGCAGGCACCGTGAGCACCTTGGCTGCCTATGCTGTATTCAAAGCGCTCGGCAACTCCTTAGTGTGTGGCACTGATGCAGCAGTGGATTTACTTTGTGTTGCAGGCGTTCGTAACCCTTCTAGAGCTAAACAGTAGGCTGGTAAGTGCTCAAATAGCATTTTGGATTAGTTTCTCTTAAACCTCATATTGTCAAGCACGACTCTCCTCTATTATTCATGAAAAAGTGTAAATGTACAGTCGTGAACAATATGAACACCGAAACCACCTTCAAGAGGTCATAGTGGCTAGGTGCACATATCAAGCGCAAAAGTGTTTTTTTATAACGTTAAACAATCAAGTGGGAAATTTTGTTTTGCAAATCAGTATGACATATTCGTATGCGTGTGACCAGTAATTATTGCTTAAGCATGAACTCAGTGTTTCGTCTTGTATACACAAGTCTGCAGAAACCCCACTGAAACATTTTGAATTTGCTGCAACTAAACGGGGCAGATTGTGTTGCCTGCTGTGTTAAAACTAGCGTCCGTTTGCCCACAATGCAGGCAAGCAATGCTGCCTGCTTTGTCGCAGGCAGAACCTTTTCTTTTGGGTTGGGCCTAATCCTGAGGGGGTTATTATAATCATTCTGATGATTGCCTACAATCAATCAATAATAATATAGTAACGAATCTGTTCACATTCCACCGAGTATTTCAACAATGTAATAACTGGTTGAAAAAAGGACTAGTTTTTTTACAACCTGTAGAGCCAGAACAAGCATACCACGTGAAAATTTTTAGGAAATCAAAACATACAGACGTCTCTCTTGGATCTAGGCAGGACATTCACAAGTGCGGTATTTCACTTAAGTTGCTTCATAATAGTACCTATGTGCAATGATGATGATGAAAACTTTGTTACTCCCAAAAGAGGGGACCGGCCAAGAGGTCGGTTACGCTGCTTAGAGCAAGTCAGCAGGGATCACTTAAAACACGGCGGCCTCCAATGCGCGTAATTTGTGCACCAGCAGCTTAGCACTCTGTGTTTATTGTGCAAGAGCCTTGCCAACTCATTTCCTCCATCATATCTTTCTTCTGCCTCATGATAGCGAAGCAGTGTGCAGTCCTTGCAGTGTTTGTAATGGAAAGTTATCGAACATTTCAGCCATGCCTAGCTCTACCATCGCTTGCTGGCCTGTTGCTTCTAAGGTTCTCCCTTTTTTGTATGTATTAGCCAGCAATAAAACCTTTAAAGGGGTACCAATACCAATTTACAGAGGTGAGTTTAGTCTGTCATAAGAATCTCCTGTATACAGAGATGGCCTATAAGTGATTAAAGTTTTAAGACATTTTGTTTTGACATTCAAGTAATTTTGATATGGCACACCTACTGACATTGACACTATCATGATGTAAGGCTACTGTGTCAATTAGAGCGACTTCACGATGCTGTCCAGCTAATTGTGATGACGTCAGGTATGAAAAACATTGAAAATAGCTGTTTGTACGTAACCAACGTAGCTACGAAGCGGGGCAGCTGTAGAAATATCACGACATCTAGCGCGAGCACTTGATGAGAAGCGCATATGGTGTTGTGCTGTCAGGGTACAGTAGGAACCGAAACTAGCTTTTAAAAACATGCTGTGATTACTTTTTTAGGCTGCAAGCTCTTACCAGTTCATTTTCTAGGCTCTTGAAGGCCTGGCCTTTCATGCGACATTAAAAAGAATACTAGTATCGAAATCTTTCGTGTCAATAACCCTATAGACCCTTTCACTGTTTACAAACAGAGGCCATTGATCACATCTGATTTTGCCTACCGGCGTGCCTTAATAGCATCGGTGAACAACAGAAGCTTTAGAATATAGCCCGCTGATTTTCTACGGTTTCCTTTTCTTATTTGGCAAAATATATTCAAATGTTCTTTTGAGCTACGTAAAATTTATAAAAGATTTCTTGTACTTTATGCACATTCATTTTATGTGAAAAACGAAAGAGAGACTTTCCTTATCATTGAATAGAACTTTAAAACGTGCTTTCAGTTTCGATGTTAGGCGCTGGCAAATGAGGTGACGGGAAGTTTTTGGGATACAACTCTTGCAACCTTGAAACCGTCTATAACATACCATTTATCGCATGCAAGATGCTTTCAAGGCCACAAACTTTGCACATTCAAACCATAAATCTGCTTTGGTAGCATTCAGTGGAAGAATGAAATGAAACTATGCGTCCAAGCTGGACTAAAGATGAAATGTACTGAACACGAGATCAAGTTTTACCTGTAAGCACTTTCATCCTCCTTCACAACAATCTAACACTGTTAGATTATCTGATGTAAAGGTATGATTGCGCTTTACATCCAACAGGGGCGTTGCAAGAATTTTTCTCTCAATTGACACTACAAATCGAAAACTCTTCAAGCTTTAGTGCTATTATGTATGTGCCTTGCAAAATAGGCTTGGGTTTATTCGTTGAGTGCCCCCAATCGATTGATTTATTTGTCAAATAGAAATGCTCACCATGAGCAAATCATCATTATTATTATTTTTTGTAATATAGTTTGGTAGCAGTTTGAGGCTATGAAAAGAACACACATCATTGTGATTTTATTGAGTAGGTTTGATTTAGTTGTTGCAAAGCTACATGATCTTGTGGATGCTCAAGTAATCTTCAGCCGACAATACTTATGCATACAGGGTTCAGCTGCAGCCATTTTGAAAGATCTGCATAGGGTCCATGTCAAGAGTAGGCAACCTTGTCTTAGAAGACCCTAACTGAGCACTTCTCTCTGCTAAAATCTCGTGCAAACATTTTTCTTTATTTATTTCTGCTCTACCTCTGAAACCATTACTCGGATGTTCTTTTCTAACTTGTTTTCACAGAGGTGCTGACAGGGTATTTGTGTACGGTGCCAAGTCTTGCCTGAAGGTTACAGCGAAACCACATCAGGATGCAGACATGCTGTTAGTACTGTTGGTGCACATACAAACAGACATGCGGCCGGAACTGCAGCCTAGGTATAGATTCTCTAAAAAATGTATACCTAAGCCATTTACTGACAGGAGAGCTTACTCAAAAAAAGAAAATTTCACCGAAGAATGAGGATAGCCTCGAGCGCTTACAACAGGCATTGCCCAAGGGCTGGATGATGGTTTTTTGACGTCTTTAGTGATAATTTTGTCCACTTCACTATCAATTACTTGACGTTCCTATTGAAATACACGATATGAACGCCAGCGTATAGGACTGGCATCAGAAGTGTTGATCCGGTGAGTCACGACAGATTTTTGGTCGAGAGGGTGGTTGTCAAAGTCGAAAATGTCGCGATAGGATGTTAGCAGATGACGGAGACCAGTAGCTTGGACTAGGGTGAGATCGGGAGCGATCATCTCGTTAATGTCATCTGGAGGCTGAGTGTAATTACCATCATGACATGAAGATGTAGCATTAGTGTCCAAACCAACTGTCAACCAGAGCTATGGCAGCCAAACACATGTCTTGCGATATAACCTTGGTTAACAATATTGGCACTGCATGTGTCTATCGAGTAGAAACGTGCACTGTAGTAAGCTTTGATGAAGGCTTTGCCAAGGTGTTCCCTATCTACAACATGTGCATAGCCTTTTAATGTGGTTGCAAATTCGATCGAAATGGCCAAGTGACCATTTTATTCCATCATGTTTTGGGTGGTAGTTGTGCGACTCGCATATGATGTGGTGACATCTGAACATTAAGAAACCTACTTATACGCCTGCTGTATATTGTCAATGACGCAGCACTGTACCAAGTGCATTACTGGTTAAAAGGCTAAATAAATCATTTACATGAGGGGTTAGCTGTTACATTTAGAAGGATGCTAGACAACAGAATAGGAGCTGCGTTAGTAAATTGGACGTCCAGTACTTCATGAAAGCCTACCATCTAAACCTAATGTTAGGCGACGCTTGGAGCTCGCCTTTGGGCTGACGATGCAAGTATCTTTAAGGTGTTCCACTGTTGAAAAAAAAAATTATAATGTTATGGATAATCTATGTTGAAGTCTATTAAACTTTTGATTCTGAAATCGGACTGTATTTTGTGCTGAAGGAGCCAAGGACAAAACTTGGAAAGTTTTAAGGACTTTTACAGTGCCATAGCTTTTTGGAATGCAACAAAAAAATGTATAAATTCACATCGCCTCTTTTTTTTTTTTTCAGCACCGTTTTCAAAAACCAGAAGCTTAGTTTTCAGCCTGTTTTCTGTAGTAGCTGCTGCCACAACACTAAGAAGATTATCAAAGAACATTCTTAATATTCTGAACTCATTCTTGCATTTGTGCCTCTTTCTAAGCACTCTGTACTAGCTCCGCAGCATTTGTGTGCCTGGTAGCTGTTGCCACGTTGAGAAGGCTAGTAGAAGTGAGATGCACAAGTCGAACTGTTTACCAGCAAACGACTTTGTGACTGGTTGAACAGCACTAGTGCACTTTCTTTCAACTTTCCTAGGCTGTCTGCGAGTGAAGTGAACTACACAAAAAGCAATGCAGGGCGTGGCCGCCGACATGACACGATGGGCTGCATGCACATGTCGCCCACTACGCATACGCAGTGCACATGTGCAGTTGTCATAGGAAAGGGGTCTCAAACATGGCTGAGCTGGCGGGCCGGAGTCATGAAATTTAGTGTCACGCGAGGGCCAGGAAGGTACGAGAGTAGTTTGTACATAATGTGAGGTAACATTGCCTTTTCAAATAAGACTCTTTCGAAAACTTATATATGGATCATTTCTGAAGGGAACTTAACATATTTGCACAGTGCAAGAAAACGAGTGGTTACGGCATAACTGCACAAGGAAAAGACACTGGACTTCCCATGGAGGCAGAAATGTTGTAGGCCCGTGTGCTCAGATTTGGGCGCACGTTAAAAAACCCCAGGGGGTCGAAATTTCTGGAGCCCTCCACTACGGCGTCTCTCGTGATCATATGGTGGTTTTGGGACGTTAAACCCCACATATCAATCTAGAGACACTGGACGCAGTTACCCCGTAACTACTCGTTTCCTTGCGCTGTGCAAATATGTTGATTCCTAATCACCAACTAGCCCAAGCATCTGTCTTGTGAAGAGAACTTGATGCCAACATATTGGCAACAATCTCCAAAATGACTAAAATCTGGACACCGATTCCATGGTTATATTTCAACACAATGAAACCGTGTAGAATGCCTGACGGTAAAAAGAACACTTGAGACAAGTCGGGTGTATTAGTTGACGAGTCATGAGCGCACTCATTAACAAAAAATGTATATATATATATATATATCTGTAGAGCAAAGACAGTGTTGATGTGTGGGTCAGCCAGCTGGCAAAAAGTCCAAAGGCCGTGCGTTTGAGACCCCTGATTGCAGGTGTTGCACGAGAATCCCCAGCCGTCCGTCCCTCTCCTTGGTTGTGCTGGTTGCGCTTGCTCTGCAGCTGCAGTTGATGAAATCCTTTTGCAGCACTGCGGAAGATGGCTGTTACATTTAGTACACATGCTCACTAGCGAGTTATAGGCACCGGCCCATGCAGATTAGCTTGGCAGTGAGAGACTTTGCAAGAATCGAGCCCTCAGATTTTGTTGTTGTTGTTTAGTAACATGCAATGCCAACCAGGTCTTGCTTGTGGCAGACTTTTTTCTGACCTTTTCTACTTAAACGGTTCACGATTTTGTGTGACAGTGTTTGCTGCCTCACGGCTTACCTACTTTATTTGAATATTCGTGGTAGCGACAGATCTGCTCAGTGTTGGTGGTGCCACCTGATGGTTTCAACTGATTGTTGGAAAGTGAGAGCTGAGAATTCGCTAGCATTTTTTTTAATCATCATATCATCCAAAGATGTGCCGACAGATTGGGTGAAAAATTACGTGAAAGCCAGCCGTACGCTGGTCATTCATCCACTAAGTCGGGTCGGCAAAAGAGTGAAGGCAACATCTGCAATGACCATTGTTCAAGCTGAGCAGCTTCTGTATTTACGGAGTACTCTAACCCAATTACTGCAGACTTCAAACGAGGAGCTGATACTGTCGACACAGTGACCAAAGCACAGTGCTGTTTGTATAGACAGCCAACAAGTGATGGTCGTGAAGACAACCTTGCCATTCCTTGAAGAGTGTCCTTGAAGAGTTTAATGGGTTTTTGTGTTTGCTTTGTTGTGGCAGCTGAGTTATGCTAACTCTGCATGGGGGGGGAGCCGGCAGTGAATTCTGGGTGTGCTTCACAGTGGATAGACTCTGACGTGCAATCAACCAACTGAATCCAACAAAGATGACTTGTGAGAGGGCGGGGTATTGTAGATTGAACATGTTCTAGTTTTTTAGTAATAAGACTACGACTTTCTTTGCCGCCGAACTACATGTACTGCACAGAAATGACGAACAGGAGTGGTTTCAAGGCCCTGTGTAGGCTACTTTGCATCTTTTTTCTCAAGATTCTATTGCTGGTCTGCCACTTCTTTGGACTGCAGGCTACCGGGGTAAGCTGGCTCATACTGTTATGCAAGGTCTAAAAGAGTGGGACGGATTTTTGTGTTTCGCGAGGGGAACACCGGCGACTATGGAACAGCTGCTGTCTATGTGAACAACGAACAAATGTGACTCAAGCACGAATTTCTCCCTGTTCAGCCTTCCTACAAGTGTTCAGTCATTCCGGCACCCTTAGGGTTATTGCATGAAACACTACACTAAACAGCATTTCTTGACATCCAACATTTTTTCTTCCTTTTACCTACAAGTGCATTCCATAATTCTGAACTGTGCAAAAGACACAGGTCAACAAATGGATGGGACTCATGAATTTTTCTGAATGTTTTAACAATGTGAAAGTGGCTACATTAGTATCGATCTCATGAGCAGCACTTGAGCTTGTTGGCACATGAAGGCTGTGAAACAGCATTAAGTTTAGCCGAGTATAGAGCTAGCGGTTTCATAAAGTCTTGTCTTGCGTCCTCTGTGATTACTATTGGTCACTTGATTTCACTGCATGTAAACCCTTTAATATAGTCACTAAGCAAACAGATTTGAATGAATGAGACAAAATAACTGGTCAGTAGAACATTTGGTTACTACAAGTCATGTAGACCCAAAGCTCTTAATATTTTATCCCCGAGCATATCGTTACGAGATGAAAACGTGAACATTTTTCTTTTGGCTAGGTTCTTAATAACTAAGGAGTGGTTTAACAGCAGTTGTTAGCGCCAGCTTCTCATAAGTGATTTTTGAGGATGCCAGCTAGGTGCATTCTTTAGCTGAACTAGCCAAGAAATGCTGTTGCGCTAAAATAGAGTTCAGCATTGGCAGTGTTGTTTGTCAGAGCTCAACCTTTTCGTTCACCTGTGTCTCTTGTGACATTTGCAGTTGTGCATTGAAAGCAAGGTGCCCAGTTCTCTCTCACTGCATTCCACATTGCAGGTGTGATTTCTTGTTTTTCTACAATGCAGCTGACCCCTTTTGGTATTTCTTAGCATAGCTGACGTGGCATTGCTCCGGTGATCAGTGAGACCATAACTCTACATTCCTTACTTTATACAAGTGGCACGGAGCGGCTAAGGACAATCCAGAAAAAAGGCACAATTTCCGATGTCTCCCGACTGCCACAACATCTCCACACATCCCCGGGCTGTGCATTTTCAGCCGTGGCATTTTGAGCAAAACTTGTTAGAGAGTGTGTATGTTAGAATGGCATGTGTTCTGTAATCTCTTGCCTGTATTTTGTTTTTCGTATTCTTTTGATACATCATACAAGCACGTTGCATAAAGGTCTCTACACAAATTGCACTTGTGGTTTTCTCTTTCTTTTCTGAAGCAATGTGTACAATTACTTGTTTATTTCAGCTACTCTTATAACCAAAAGTTATGAAAAAGGTAGCTAGTACATCTTGCGAATACTTCTACTGTACAAAATAGATATGCAGAATTAGTGCAGTTATTTCATTTAAAGCAGTGTAGTTGCTATGCTCCTGTGGATTGTTATTATCTGCTGCGAGGTAATTCTACTTTGCCACATGCGAGATAGATAAACTGATATCTTAATAAATGCACCTATGCCCGTCTTAAGCACACAGTGCATGTTCAAATATACCTCAGTGGAAGAATAAGGTCATTGCATGGCATTTGGTGGTGGAACAAGTTCTGAAACATGTGACACAAGTGGAAGATAGCAGGTTATGTATGTTACCTACTTGTGACACAGTGAGTGGTCACATTAGCTAGGCATGTTTTCGAACACTTCATCATGTTGAATTACTTGGGGTAATATGAAGCAGCAAAAAGTGGCTATGTACTTGGGCTGGTTGGTGACACATTTTTGAAAGAATTGTACTTCTAAGTGCGCATGGAACGTTTCAGAAAGTTGACAGATGGGACAGAGCGCACACTTACAATCGTTTTATTGCACAGATGGCGTGAATAGATATACAACAAAAGGGCGAGGAGATCACACTTAGAAAAAAGCGACAAATGATGGCACATGTTCCAGACCATTTTATTCCATTCTTTAAATGAAAACTCGACTGAAAGGATACTTGTATTCATTGTCCAACAGATTGACGGACGGGGCACTTACACACTCGGTTCCTGCTGTTGGAAATGCACGTGCCTTTTTGTAGCTAGTAAGGAAAGACGACGACGTGACAGAGAGACGCTCCGTGCAGTTTCGCCTATGTGGCGTTTTGCAGCCTGTATGGTGTTTGAGTATAGCCTGTGTGGCATGTGTTATATTATGTGTAAGTGAATTATTCTTTTTATTACAAGGCATGTGTGCTTCAATGACGCCGCAAAAGACGACATTTCAGAAGTGGGATGGTCATCCAGTAGCCAAAAGAAGAATAATAGTGAGTTCATCGGTGCATGGCTCTGGTAATCCTAAACCTGAGATGGAATGCACCGACAATAGAGTCAACCTGACGCCGACTCCAACCACGAAGACACCATCATAGCTTGTGAATTGCTCCTAGCTCTTCAAGAAAAGAACGGACTGATATCGTTCCTCCTGGAACGACCGATTCTGACCGGCACAGCAGCCACAATCAGCGCCAACGTGCCAAGTGATCACTGATTTTAGCCGCAACATCAGTCCCTTTTACGGCTTTGAAGATGCTCCTTCGGCGCCTGAGTAGATTGACAATATACACGAAACGTCGAATCTTCATGGGTGACCAGCTGCTTACACGCTGGAAACAGCCAAGGCCAGACTGGTTGGAGCTGTCAAGGACTGGTACCATGCAAGGAGCTCCGAAATCACATCGTGGGATGATTTCAAGGTTTTTTTCTATCGTACCTTTGTCAACCATGGCTCCAGAGTTTACTCGACAGACCATTGTCTGATCTCGACCGAAAGGACCGCTGCGAAAACAGGTCTACAGAAACCAGAAGTCGCGCCTGCTGCAACCCCCAAAGGACACGAGAACCCGCTTTTCAAACAAGCCCCGCCACATGTCGAGAACTCCGGAGACACCGAAGCACCGATAACGAAAGTACGGGAAGAACCGAAGCCAAAGATGTCTGCCGGAGAAACAGGAAACCTAGAAGACAAGAAAACAGCCGAAGAAAGGCAAGGAAAGGCAGATGAACCCCCAGCTTCGGTGCTGCGAGAAGAGACGGCGATGTGAAACCCCGAACAGAGAAAAAAAGCAACTGTAAAAGACAGTGAAGTGGAAAAGAAAAAGAAGCAGATGAAGAAGCACCCCAGGGACAAAAGGAGACTCATACGGACAAGTGGGAGCAGGCTGAGGTTGCCGAAGACAAAACAGCGAAAGACAAGCCGAGCCAAGACGACTAAACGGAAGACAAGCTACTTGCTGAATCGGGAAAAAGTGACAGAAAGCAGACAGAAAGAAAGGAGAACGAACAGCCCAGGACCAAGTTGAAGGAAGTTAACGAGCTGAAGTCAAGTGATCCATGCGACACCTAGGAGGTGGGTAACGTCGGAGCAAATCCCCAAAAAATCGCCGCAGATGGGCCAAAAGCCGAAGCCTGAGCCAGACCAAGCGTCAAAGCCACAGTTTAGACTAGAGGACATTGGCATCGTGTGGGTTGTGTCTTTCTTCAAAGTCAAGCCAGTCGAGGTGTCCGGATACGTACTACAAAATTTCCCAAAAAAATCATCGCGCTACGAAGGGCGAACTTCTGCGTGTCGTGAGGAACTTATCGTGCCAGTGTGTAGGTATAGCTGTTTTCTTGTGTTGTTTCGGCTTCTTGATCTTGTTTCTTCGTGTGTTGTTATTAAGTATTTGAAATAGGAGAATGGCCGAGCGATTGCGCAAAAAAGCAATTAGGTAACTTTGCCACAAGGCCTTAATGAGGACATCAAGCATTGCAGGATGGCCGAATGTTGGAAATGCATGTGCCCTTTGTAGCTTGTGAAAAAAGACGACGATGTCGCGGGGAGATACTCGGCAGTTTAGTCTGTGTGACGTTTAAGTATAGCCTGTGTGGCATGTGTTGGCTTCAAAGACGCCAACGAAGACAACACTGCTTTGTGGATCAAAAACACCTCATCTAGTTCATGTGCCGTCTTGTCCTTATATCTTGCCATTACTTGGCATTGATCGAAATTCGGGGTGCACCTACTTCTCTCAGTGGCTTGCCAAGTGGCTGCCCAGTGATCCGCACATCAGATTTGCGGGCTCCCTAAGCTGATCATTCAGACAGCACCCCGTCTGACCGATGTAGTATCAGCCACATGAATAAATATGATACACAGTGCCTACAATACATTCTACGACATTTTTGCGTGCTTCTTATTGCACCCGACACTTCAAAAATCTTTCATAGTTAACTCTTTTACATAGAGAGCCCAGCTTATTTTTTGCCGTGAAGACAACCTTTACCCCAGTTTTTTCAACGATTCTCATTAAGCAGTGCGAAGCTTTGTGCACACAAGGAACGGCAGACACTTTTGTCTTTCACTCATCCTGAGATGCGTGCTGTGCATTCTTGCCCTGCTTCAATTCATTCAGAAGTGACTCTGCTCTGCCTGAGAGCAATTGATCAGGAAATCCTGCTTGGCATTCTTGTGCCAAACATCGTGACATCATAAATTTTTATGGTGTTTGCCAAGGCCTACTGAGTTCCTAATTGGTAAAAATGAAGCACAATGTCTGTTAAGGAGGCCAGAGACCTAACATACCAAGTTTCAGTAAATTTTGTTGAACCAATGTTGGTAAAATTTGTGACGTCATGCATGCAGATTTCAACGCAAAATTTAAAGACAGTACTCTGAACTTTATTTTCTTTATTTCTTTCAAGTGTCTCTTTAATTCTTGGCGTCTTCAAAAAAAAATTTCATGAAAACTTGGATTTGCAGTCGGTAGGTACACAGTTCATGCTAACGCTGACTCCACATGCTTTTTCAATCAGTATTCTCGTGCCACATTCATGGGCGAACGAGGAGTTGTGGCAGCCCTTCGTGAGAAGACATTAGTTTTGCGCTGCCTTAGAGACAGGCACTGGAAAAACTAATCCAGCATTTGTTGAAACACAAACAAAAGCGTAGTTTGTCTGGACCTGGGTCTTGTAGCATGCGCCCGAAGAAAGGTAAACAGCCTTGCATTGGAGAATGTGGCCAACGTGGCTTCGCCCTTTGGATAAGGTGTGCTCATGTACAGTTGCGACATAGTTTGCTGACCCCAAAGTTGTACAGCTGGTGTCAAAACGAAGATTTTTGTGTCGTTCAACACAACTGCCATCTTTGTCATTGTACCCATACTCGCGAGGGACAGCTCAGCAGCAAATCGATTTGACGTAATACCTCAAACCCATAGGCGCAAAAGGGGAGGGGGGCATCGCCCCTGCAGTCATCTTGCGGGGGGAGGGGGGGGGCACGTTTACAACGACAATGGGAGGGGTTCTGCGATTAACCTTCGCCCCAACCATCAAGGGAAACCCCTGCAAACCTATGCTTAATCCAGTAATTCTATGAAAGATGTAGTAGCAAACACCACCATATGATTATGAGAGACGCCGTAGTGGACGGCTCCGGAAATTTTGGCCACCTGGGGTTCTTTAACGTGCACCCAAATCTGAGCAAAAGGGCCTACAGCTTTTTCGCCTCCACCAAAAATGCAACCGCCGCAGGCGGGATTCGATCCCGCGTCTTGCAGGTCAGCTGCCCAGTACCTTAGCGGTTAGACCACCGCGGCGGGGGCTGTTTGCTTCATCAGGGTGCTTCTGATAAATCACAATTTTGACCCCTGACATCAAAACTTGGAGATATTTGTGTTGTTTCTTTGTCCTACTTACGTGGGTACTTCTGGTCGATTATTAGTGGCGTATGTTAGCTGTAAAATATTTTAATTGGGTTTTAAACTAATTTTAAAGGGCTCATCTGAATTGGCAGCACCTCGTGGCATCGTCACTCGCATGACGTAGATGAAGGCCTCGTGTGACGTTCCACGAGTAAAAAAGAGTATTGTCGGCGTCACAGAAAATATGTGGGACGCACATACAATACCGTGACTGGCACCCGGCGAGGGCTATCAATCGTTCCTCACCTTTCCCATCGCGCCCACATCGTTGCAACCTTTATGACGTGCGGGGCACCGATTCAGAAACCGCGCTTGTAATGTTACTAAAGCTTGAGCGCACGTAATATTAGGTGCTTCCCCGCTGTGGGGCGCTAGTCATGTTTTTCTGACATGTGGAGAATTGGCATGATTAAGAAGTCCGCACTAGAGATCTATCGAACTTTTAAGCAGAAAATTGCCAAGGAAAGGATCTATGATAATACTCGGGGTAGTTCTCTACTGTTTGAGGCCAGGACGGGAGTGTTGCGAACCAAGACATATCGGGCCAAATACGAAGGGGTAGACACAGTATGCTGTGCGTGTGGAGAGGAAGAAGAAACTGCCGAACACTTGATAATGTTCTGTAAAGGGCTTCACCCTATAGTTCAGGATGATGGCGCAGAGTTTTTCACAGCACTGGGGTTTAGGGACAGGGAGGGCAAAATAGACTTTAAGCGGGTAGACTTAACTAGAAGGAAGTTATCTGATTGATGGCTAAAGTCAAGGCACGAGGGAAAATTAAACCCTTCACTGCAAAATACGAATCCTCAACCTCACTATCTTAAAGGAAAAAAAAAAGAAATGTAGTGGTTAGTTCACTAAGTCTTACGGCTAGGTAGCGTTAACCGCCGCCCGATCAAAAGGGTACAGCCACATCCATCCATCCATACAATCAAGGCACGAGTGAAATTTATTCCAACGCACAGTAATAGTACTTAACTTTATGGCTAAGTGGTGTGAGCTGCCGCCTAATTCATTCGTTTAGGCGGGTGTCTCAAAAAGTGACGTGAAACTAAAGCCCCCCCCCCCTCCTCTTCGTCCAAAAAAGTCCTGAACTGGTAATAATTGTACAATACGTTGAACTTTATACGATTCAATTGCGGGATTATAAGACAAATTTACATATCACACACACAAAAAAAAGCCACTAACAACAAAGTTGCTGTCAGAAATCTTTTAACATTCTGCTTCAGTGCTTTTTCTTAAAACTACTTGTTTGATTGATCCATGAGACTGTGTTTTGTGGTAGTACCTCTAGTTATAGTTATTTTATCCCGAAGTGAATTTCACGATGGACCAAGTAAAATGCGCCAAGACGTCACCAACATAAGCGTGAGTTGCGGCTTAATGATTTAATTTTTGATTGCTTTTTATTGGAATTTTGTAAGAAACCTGCGGTGGGGAGGTTCGCTCTGTGCATTTGTTTCCGATCGCGTGTGAGGCGCGGTCCTGCTCTGCGCCATTTTTGTTTTTGCGCTGCGATTTCTTCGGCGCAGGGAAGAAACTTGGGCGCGTGGTTGCAGAAACCCTCATGTTTGCTGTGACCCACGTTGATCCAACTTTTACTCGCGTGCTTTCTTTTTCCCGGGTGACAGTACACTGTGATGTCAGCGACGGGCAGTCATCCGTAGCGTCGCTGTGGTTGGGACAGCGTGTTCGAGGTTGCGGATGCGTCTTTGTCGCTGCGTTTGTTCTCTTCGGAAAATGCTCCCCGTTCTTACAGCATTCGTGACGGGCACGTCACGCTTTCGGAGAAAACGAACCTTCGTGGAGCACAGCTGTTTGTGTGTTGTCAACTGGCGTTGTGTGCGTGTAGGCCGCTCGAATGTACGACGGGCCGGACGCCGGCAGCGTGGAACAGATCACTTGGGAATGTGTAGCCATCGGCTCCGCCCTCAGCGAGGGCAGGTGGGCTGCGCTCTTACGCAGCCCCGAACTTAACGATCAAACCCTGGCCGTCCGGAGTGCCCGTGAACGGGCCGCCAAGCTCGGCTTGACGGTCCCTATGTGAGTTTAGCCGGGTGGCGTGGGGTCTCCCCTTGCGTCTTCTCAGGACCAAAATAAAGATTTAATCAATCAATGAATCTCTCAGAGAACTGACAATGTTTTCCCATAGCGTTGTGTTATACATCACTAACCGCTGTCACATCTTGCCGTACTCAGGCGACAACTTGTGACTTGGAAGTCGGCTGCAGAAATGTATGAGGCTTCCGGGCCATTCGTACCTTGTGCCAAGTTACATTGTAGAGCCAATCGATGAACTTTGCGTGTATTCGTGCTCTCAAAAGTGTGCAAATGGAATTTATAATTTAACTTGACAGTAGACAAGAGCACGCGTGAAGTATTTTTTAAAGTATTTTGCCACCAGACAAGCATGACCATCAGTAGTTCGCACTTTCGTGCTTCTAAGACGGAACACGACATTTTCTGTGTGCAAACATCATGAACCTTACTAGCACATTGGGCCTGTCCCAGCATTCTATCATTTAAACTGCTCACGCTATGCATCAGATCCAACAGGGCCGACTTTTTCGTTATGTATTCTAAACACTACAGTTTTGGCAGCTAGTCCCAGGGGAAGGAACTAACATTCAAAGTTTTCCGATTGGCATTTACATGGAAGCTCAAGAACAGTGCATGTACACACCTCTGCATGAAGGCAGCCTTTTATGTTAAAAAACAGTCTCAGCCAAAGCGGATGCTTTTAACTTAAGATGTGTTTCATTAATGATGAATCGTGGTACGCTTTTATGGCAGCTTATTCCATTCCACCATCGTTTTGGGGAAAAATATATAAAGCAGTTGACGCATGTAGTAAATAGAGCTAAAGCAAGGGAGTGTGTGTTGCTGGTTACAAAACCTGTTGCATTAATGTAGCGTGTTGTTGCTGTATTAGGTACGCATTTGATGTCATCCGCAAAAAGTGTTGGCAATGGGGTAGCCATTTTGAAGGTCCATGCACTCGCCGCTCGTGCAATACACTTGCTATCCTTTCTTGACATCAATATTGTGCTTTTGGGATTTGGTAGCCACTTAGCAGTACATTCCAAGCAACATGGTTGCACGTCTTTATTAAAGACGATAGTCTTTTTTGGGGACCTTCGACGCAAAAACTTTGGTCTGTCTGTCTGTACATCTGTTTGTTTGTCCACCATTACCGCGAACTAGGTACTCGAAACAGCACCAACCGATACTCCGAACGGCCGACCCCATCGGCAGCACCCACAAATGTTGCTCAAGGAGCAGCGTTCATACGTCTGCGACTGTCAATTAAGAAGCAATTATTGCGCATATCTGAAGCACCATAACAACACGTATATATTCTGCATGTTTGTCTTTTACTAGAAAAAACATACCTAAGGACCGCAGCGCTTATCACGCTGTGCTGACCATGCAACGCTTGCACGAAAAAGCGGGTGTTTTCAACGCTTTGCTAAGACGACATGGTGATGGCACCTACCCGTCGCCTTGCATTCTACACCTTATCACCTCTGAGACGGTCGTGCGTGCCCGTCTTAGGGTCACGCGCTTTGTTTTTCAAATAAAACTGCCAGATGGCGCTCACGTCTCACGTGTGATGTGAATTGATGCGCTCGTTTGCCTCCGCTGCACGCTCGAGGCAATCTAACAAGCACCTCCGGAATACCATTCACCGATTTTCTTGCGTAGAACATCAAATCAATGTTTTTTTCACTCTCTCTACACGCAAGACTATCGTCTTTCGACGACATTTGCAGATTACATGCAGATACGAGACCAATTTTTTCTTGTTCTTTTTTTGCATGATATTTAGCGTAACATTTATGAGTGGGTTTATTCGTGGTGCCTGCTACTCATTTTCGTATAGACGCATGCGCAGTCTAATGAAGACCACGCATGAGGGAGAACATAAGATGCAGATACATACAGATATGGGGCCAGTTTTTTTTATAACGCCATTTTCTGGAAAATTTTGTTGTATCCATATTCTTTACATTGAGGTTTTGGCAGGTCTGTTCACTTTCCTAAATTAGCACAGTACAAGGTTGTGTTGTACAGGGGTTAGGGTGAACACATGGTTTAACTGTACTACAGAGTGATCGGACTGCACCTTTCATCACCAAACTTTGGTGGTCGACTATTCACTGTAAGGGTAACAGACTGGATTTCAAAAGTAAAGCAAGCACACAAGGGGCAGGCAGGAAGTTGGATGGGCAGATGAGAATAAAGAACCCCTGACAGCAAAATTTTCGTTTCTAAGCTTTTATTTGCAATTTGTAATTTTATGTCTGGTAATCCCAAAATTGAATTGTAGATGCTCAGAGGTATCATATATTTAATGCTAGCATTGTTCAAAACACCTGCCTAAAACCACAAGAAAGTAGCGCTCTACAGCGGGGGAGCACCTAAGATCACGATATGTGCTCAAGCTTTGGTATCATTGAAAGCACAGATATTAAATTGGGGCCCCACGTGTGGGTAAAGAATGAAATGATGCGAGTTCTTTGGTGTGTTAAGCACGTATCCCCTCAGGAAAAAGAAAAAGCATTCTTGAGCTAAGCAGACACAAGAACCTCGAGAGCAGCCGTACAACAGAGTGAGAGGGGTGAGGAACAACAGCCCTTGCTAAGTGCCAGTCACGGTTTTGAGTGTGCCTTGCAAATTTTATGTCGTGTGAGCAATAATCGCTTTACTCGTGGAATGTCTCGCGGTGCCTTGATGCACATCGTACCAGTGGCAATGTCATGAGGTGCTGCCAACTATGGTGATCACTCATCCTGTCTTTAAAGTGAAATTAAAATATCTTAAAGTAAATGTTTGCCACTAATAATCGGTCAGAAACGCCCACATATACGAAAAATTCAACAACACCAACATCTTGAGGTTGCGATTTTGGTGTCAGGGGCCCTTAAAAAAGTTTGTGAGAAAAACGTGGGCCCGGCAAGTGCATGAACAGGGTGATTGGCGGAAAATAGAAGAGACCTCTGCCCTGCAATGGGTGTAGATGCTACGACATTAACAGCTACAGAAAAACTCAGCCAGAAGCAATCATGTTGTTATGATCGTATGTGTTTGCTACTTCTTTGCCTTCACTCACTGGCCACATTTATCTATAATCTTTTCTACAGTGGGCATAGTCGGGCTTATAGTGATGATGTTCACTTCTATGATGACTCCACCAGGTGTGGGCGAGGCCTGCATCGGCCATGGAGGAAGTCACCGCACTGGAACTGCTGGCCCTGCAGCCGGAGCAGCCAGGTGTAGAAGAGGAAGAAGGGGCGACACTGCCTGCAGGCACCCTGTTGCGCATCGATGGCGACACCCTGGTCGCAGTCGTCGAGGACGGACAGGCAATTGCTGCTGCTGCCTCAGATGAAACCGCACCACGTAAGCATGCCTATCATTCATAAGCGCTTCCACTGGGGCTTGTTGCTGTGACAGAGTTAGGATGATACTGGGGAGCTGAGGTGCACGACAGACAGACAAAAAAAAAATGAATCAAAAACAAGTGGAACGACAAATGAACCCTGAACACCAAGTTTTATTCATTCAGTTTGACTCGTCAAGTATATAGATGATTTTCTGCAGCCAGTTTGTTCATTCAAAACTAGATGGCGCCACGACCCCCGTGGCCATCTTCCTACTATGGCCGTCCTTCTCCACCACGGCTTAAGATCCACATTACGTTGTGTGCTGGGCATCCCCATAAGCGTCTGCGCAAAGCAGACGCTATGGGGATGCCAAACTTTGCATATGGACATGCCAGTAAGTAAAAGTAAACCAGATGGACGAGCTAGAAAACTCAACATGGCTTCACTTGCGGGTGCAGTTTCCTTCAGCCTCGATCTTGTCACGTCGTCGTTTTGCGCTGTGTGGCCCATCAGTTCACAATACATGCATTTATTTGCTTTATACTGTAACGAACAATTCGGGTAGTTCGGAGAAAACTATTTATTGTTTCTCAACTAGTCGAATACAAGGGAAAAGGAAAAAGCCTTATCTTGCTTGCTCGAGTGGCTCGTCACTTCTCCTTTGTCTCTTCTGGTGCAGTCCTCCAAGATCTGATCCCGTGTGCTGAAGGCGAGTGTAGTCGTGGCCGATTCTCATAGCTACAGTGCGCCGTTGTCTGCTAGGAGGTAGTGCATATTTTGAACACATTTATGGTATGCGTCAATATTTATGTCCTGAAGCTTCGAGAGCAATGTATTCGTCGGTATTTTGCAGTGTTTTTGAGACTCCATTCTCAAATTCTCAGACCCTAGGCTTAGCAAGCATGGCTAGATAAAGACAGCTAATATCCCTAATAAAGACAAAACATACCTGATGCTTTGACCCCAGCATGAGATGACACGAAGTGGTAGCTGAATTCGTCATTTATTTATTGCTGTAGCGACCGCGGTTGAGTAGCAAGCAGGAGCTTCGATCGAAGCGGCGGCCGCGTCTGCATGGGTGCTGCCTTGTCGTCTTCTAACCTCAGCTACGGCCACGGCTGCTTCACTGGCCTAATGCGTTGGCAGGGGCATTTTGCTGATCAAACATGGTAGTGCCTGTGCACCGCGATGGAAGATCGTCTATATGCACAGGCAGCGAAAGATGAGGTGCGCAGTAATGTCAGAAAGTGTGATGTTGACTAGAAGAAAGTGGGTCGTGTCAAGTTTCAATAAGCACGTGTCCTAAAGACATGAAAAAAACAATTGATTTTAGCAAGCCGCTTGTTTAAAAAATTATCTGTATTGCTACAGATGACACTTGTCATTGCTTCACTGTAGAAGCTCGAAACGATAGACAGGTCGAGTTAGAAAGTGGACTAGTGATGCCTTGGGCAAGAGCTGATGTTTGTAACAACAAACTTCTAAACACTAGGATAAGACAACTGTAATGAAGGAGGCAGCAGATGCACTGACATTAAGCTTATTTTTCATTTCGTACTATGTGCAGCAGATTTATTGACCGAAATGAGACGGTGACGACTGCTGCCAAATTGGTATGCTGTGTTGTCACCAACCAATCTCTCTTGGGTTTCTTTCAATTGAGGCACATCATGTACATATATGCACAGATGATGTCCACAAACTAGCAAAATGCCAAGTGTGAATATATATATATATATATATATATATATATATATATATATATATATATATATATATATATATATATATATATATATATATATATGAGATATAACAGACAGTAATGCCAAGGAATGTACAGGGGAAGTTATTAAAACCAATGGAATGTAAATAAGAAGAAAGAAAAGTGGATGATTTTTTCATCCACTTTTCTTTCTTCTTATTTACATTCCATTGGTTTTAATAACTTCCCCTGTACATTCCTTGGCATTACTGTCTGTTATATCTCATTAATATTGTGTTAAAACACGGAAAAACGAGCCCTTAGGTATACACTTCTTTCCCTTATATATATATATATATATATATATCTATTGTTAAGGCGTTTATTAGCCGGCAATGAGTGAGAATATACAATGGCGACAGTCACAGCCAAGCACGGGCTCTCAGCGCGAGCGGCGTCCTTGTTGGGTAGCCCCACTAGGAGCTACTCAAGAGTTCGACCCATTTCAGAGTTCGGAGGCTTCGCTACAATTACCCCGGGGTCGAAGAGGGAGCCGCCTGGCGACCTAACAGCTTGTTACTATGAGCGGGTCATAATAAGCCTTCAGGCGCTCCACGTAGAGGATGTCTCGCCCACGGCGGCGCATGTCCGAAGATTGTTCAACGGGTTCGATGAGATAGTTGACGGGTGAGGTGCGCTCGATGACACGGTAGGGGCCTTCGTATTTGGGACGTAGTTTGGAAGAGAGGCTAGCTACAGAGGTCCGGATCGAGAGCCACACAAGCGCACCAGGAAAGAACGTGGGCTCAGAAGTGGTGGAGCCATCACGAATACTCTTCTGCCGCTCTTGCTCTTGCGTCGTAAAAGTCTTGGCAAGCTCGCGACACTCTTCAGCAAGCCTGGCTGTCTCGGAAATAGGTGTACAGTCAGATGGATCCGGTGTGTACGGGAGTATCGTGTCCATGGTGTGCGGCGGGTGCCTTCCATACAGCAAGTAGAAAGGTGAAAAACCAGTCGTGCTCTGAGGGGCGGTGTTGTAGGCATAGGTGACGAAGGGCAGTATATTATCCCAATTAGCGTGGTTGGCAGCGACGTACATAGAAAGCATGTCGCCGAGGGTGCGGTTAAAGCGTTCGGTGAGGCCATTCGTCTGTGGGTGGTAAGCAGTAGTTTTGCGGTGGACAGAATGGCACTCTGTCAGAATGGCTTCGACGACTTCCGACAAGAAGACACGGCCTCGATCGCTGAGAAGCTCTTGGGGTGGGCCGTGGCGCAGTATGAATTGATGCAGCAGGAAGGACGCAACATCGCGCGCAGTAGCCGCAGGGAGAGCGGCGGTTTCGGCGTATCGCGTTAAATGGTCAACGGCAACGATGGCCCAGCGGTTACCAGCCGACGTCAGAGGAAGTGGTCCATACAAATCGATACTTACGTGCCCAAAGGGACGGTCAGGGCAAGGTAACGGTTGCAGACCGGCGTGCGACATGTGGGCTGACGGTTTACGGCGTTGGCAAGTGAGGCAAGAGCGAACGAACTGCTGCACATAGCGGTACATCCCGCGCCAAAAGTAGCGTTGTAGAATGCGGTGGTAAGTTTTGAATACCCCAGAGTGCGCACATTGCGGATCAGAATGGAAAGATTCACACATCTCCAATCGCAGACTGCGGGGTATGACGAGTAACCACTGCCGGCCATCAGAGTCGTAATTGCGTCGGTGTAGAAGGCCGTCACGGATGGCGAAATGGTGAGCTCGACGACGCAAGGCACGCGTGGATGGTGTTGCGGACGGATCAGAGAGCAAGTCGATCAGCGGGGTGATCCAATTATCCTTTCGCTGTTCGGTAGCGAGGATGTCAACATCGATCGCAGATACAGCGATTGAGGTTACTGAGCAGGGCACGCCGTCTTGAGGTAGAGGGGAGCGTGAGAGGGCATCAGCGTCAGCATGCTGGCGTCCGTTGCGGTACAGCACACGGATGTCGTAGTCTTATAAGCGAAGAGCCCAACGGGCGAGACGGCCTGAGGGATCCTTCAATGATGAAAGCCAGCATAGTGCATGATGGTCGGTGACGACATCGAATGGGCGACCATACAATATATATATATATATATATATATATATATATATATATATATATATTTTATACTGTATACATAGCTGTTTATCAATCAAATTGTGCAGTATGGTGCATTCAAAGGTTGCAATTCTTCATACAGCACAGAGAGATAAAGTGCTTACACACTCAGTACCTCTTGTGTCTTTCGCGTGTGTGTCTTGTCTTTTTCAGGTTTGTGCCCACATAGTCTGCTCAAAACACTGCAAAAAAAACTATTTTTTCATAGATAGACTATTTTGAACTACAGTAGTCTCTTTACATCGTTCCTAATTGGGCTCAGGGCACATTACTTGTCTGTGGGTGTAATTAATTTCAAAGTGAGGTCATTATGCATTGGTACACATAAAACACTCCTCTACAGCCTTTTAACCTTTATGGGAAGCCAGACTCACAAGTTGTTTCCGAAATCTCACAAGTTGTTTCCGAAATATTTTATACACACAGCTTCACCTCCACCTGTGAAATTTGGTAACAATCTTTTCAAGCCAGAATTCCAAGTAAATTTCTGAATGGGTGGCAAAGTAGTATTGATAGAAGTGGGTCCAGTAGCTTGACCAGACAGACGAGATGCACAATGTTTTGCTGTGCAGAGCTTACGGAGCTGGACTTGTCGAGCCTGCTGTCAGTGGAAGAGCCAGAAGAAGACGTTCTGCAAAAGGCATTGCTCCAGGCCAACACCGTGGTCAGAGGTACGCTGCCACCTCTGTACGTCTTTGTATGAATTGTTGATGCGACTGGTCTTTCAAACATTTCTTGAATATGACCTTATTACACATTTTAATTGAGCGACACAAGCTACGTTGTCCCTACATTTGTCCAGAATACCAAAGTGAAATTTGAAGTGGTGAGCAGAGTGGGGGCTGTGGCATCCAGCCTTGCTCTTTATTATGTGCTCTGTGTCACTGGGATCATGATCTTCGCTAGCACAGCACAAATCAAACGTCACAAGAAGAAACATACGATCAGATCACAAGTACTGATTGTGCAGCACTTGTAATATAGTGGTGTGTTTATTCTTGTTAGGTTTTATATACACTGCGATTTTGACTGCTCGTTTTGGAAAAATATGGACCAACATGCCTAAATTAAAGTCTTTTCCTGTCACATTACATAAGCTATGCAAGAGATGTGGTGTTTAGGTGACAGATGATGCTAATGAGGCATAGGATGGTGAAGCCCTAGTAACCCACCCTTCCGTATAATACTTCAAAAGGCTGGTTTCTCTCTCTTTTTCTTTTTCAAGAAAAGTTAGACATGTTCAATAAGGCATCTCTAATAACTGAAGAATTCTGCTTTTTTGCAACTTCTCAAGCTGACTCGTCATGCATTATGACAGTGCCTGCATTATCCTTGTTATTTTTACAATTGACTAAGATGTGTTATATGGGGAAAAGAAGCAGGGGCATAACTTGGCAAGTTGTGAGTACTTTTACTGCACCATAAAACATCTGCTGTAAAAAAGGAAGAAACGCTTTTGTATCAGTCACAAGTTTTTAGCACAACACGAGCACTTTGTCCCATGTCCTATCTTGTGTTTATTGTTGTATCAAGCGGCGGACGCGCCACACGGAGCGACGAGGATCTGAACCCACGTGCATCAGGCATCAAGGAGGGCATCCAGCCTTCTTCATTGTGTTGTCGACTCAGCACCCGTGCAAGCTGTCCCACCGCTGCTGTATTTCCTGCATCTATTCTACTTTTCTACACTTTCTGTGCCAGTCTGGTCACCAGGCCTGCCGTCGTACGCTTCCCTCCTGAACTGTCGTCTTGACGCTCTCTTCGGCAAGCATGAACGCGGCTATCCCTCCGCCTCCGTTCCTTCAGTGCCCCGGTGTACCACCTATTCCATAGAGGCAGTGGCGTCCTGTGTTACAGGTTTACATCGACACTGCTGCCAGGGACGCGACATCGGAGCACAAGAAGGCGCTGCTCCTGAACGCCTTGGGTGTCGAGGGACTTAACACCTACCTGCATGCCGCCGAAGATAAGCCGGGAGCCAACCGGCAAACTCGGGAGACGACGCCGGACGTGTACGACGCAGCCCTTGCGCTGCTTAATGAAAACTTTGACCCGCAACCGGACGTGACATGTCTGCGCGCCCACTTCAAAGTCCTGCGTTAGGGCCCAGACCAGTCGACGGTAGAATTTATACAGGAGGTACGCCGACTTGCCAAGCTTTGTGAATTCGGCGCGGCGGCGATATCCTCGCTTTAACCACATCGTCTCTGGCATCGCGTCCCCCCACCTACAAAGAACTTTCTTCAAGATGGGTAAGGACTTCACACTACAGAAGGCGCTCGACATAGCGAGAGAGGAGGAGCTCATCGACCGTGCGGTGCTACAGTTATTTGGAGCGCAATTCGACACAGTGTCGTCGTGTCTGATTCAAAATGGCGGTTCAGCTCGCCGAGGGATTCAAGATGCTAGGCCAAATGGCGGCCGTCCTCCCCAAGCTATGGCTTCGGTGTAAGATGGCGCCGACGGGACTTCTCCTGCGTGCACCTCCTCGCCCTCCGCTGCTGCGAACACGTCCTCTGTAGCTTCGCCGCCGGCTCGGGCGGGTGCCTGCCACCGCTGCGGGTCGACCCAGCATTGGGCCAACTCTGCCGTATGTCCTGCCTGGAGCCGAACGTGTTCAGGAGGCAGACGTCGAGGACGCTACGGAAAGGTCTGCCGATCCACAAGGGATGCACCTACTGACAGGTCGGGCCATACTTTGACTTCCCGTAATACGACGATTGCGGCCCAGACTGAGCGTTTGCCCACTTGTGCTGCACCTGTCGGCGTCTCAGCTGGCTGTGCTCCTGATGTGCCTCCTTCGGTCGTGTTTCCTGCGGTTGAGCATACCCGGACTCTACCTGCTTGCCTCCCAGCTCAACAGACGTCGGTTGTGCCTGCTGCTGATTCCGCCCCCGCTGTGCGTCTTTCGCCTTGTGGTGGCCTTCGAGATGCTTTGTCTGTTCTCGATCCCCCGGAGGTGCATCCACCAAGTGTTCCAGCCATGATTCCAGGGTCGGTTGCTATTCTACGTGCTGCCGAGGTTCCTCAGCTGGTCGCGTCTACGTCTACCGTGCCCGTTCCTGCTCTCGGCATGGGTTCTGCATCGGTGGTGCCAAGCAATACCCCATTGGAGCGTCGTTACCTGCTTGTTCCGGCCCCGACTATGCCGAAGGTACCCTGGATGCAGAGTTCAGGGGCCTGTTCTGTCACTCCACTGGACTGCTGTGGGCGGCGGCGGCAGTTCAGACGCCTGTCGTTAAAATGGCACCGCTGCAGGCGTCGACACCATTGACTCAAACACGACAGTGACTATGCAGACATCCTCTCTCAGGGGAGGGGATGATGCGGTGGTTACTTTGCAGTGTACCTTGCGGTTGTATTGTTAGAATCTGTACCATACGTGTGCATTGTCGTGTGTATGCTGTACATTTATTTATTGTACAAAGTTAATAGGGATACACTGTTATGCTGTGATTTTTTGTTGTATATTGTCTGTATAAGTGCTTTCAGCCATGGTGCACTGTGTACATAGCCATGTTTTTTTCTCCTTCTCATGCCGTTTCTTTGTTCAATTGGTTACTTATGACAAAAGAAGGGGGATGTCAAGGTTTTAAATATAGTTCTATGTGTCATTACACTTTGCTAAAATTGTGTAAGGTTAAAGTTACTCATGTTTTGTTAATCATTGTATAAAAGATCTTAGAGCCACATTTCCTTTTCTTTCTAGGGAGAAATGATGTGTTGTTTTAGTTCCGATTTTGTAGTTGCCAGATTCGGTTTCATGTGAAGAAGTGTTTTCGCCCTCAGGGGGCGCTACCCTGTGTGTATAGCACGGCATTGTACAGAATAAACGAGTTCCTGCATGGCCACCGGCTGCTGCATACCTCGTGTCGGCCAGCGCTTCAGCGTCGTGTGCTGTGTGCTCTGTGCGGCGCGTCCGCCGCACGATTCAACAAATATCTTTTTTTTTTCCATCTTAGAACCAATAATGAACATTTAAGTCTGGTCCGTGTTTTCCTTTCAGAATTTGATCGTTCTTTTTTTGGAAATCCATGGAAGTAGACTTTTTTTTTAGCATAGTTTATCAGTATGAAGTAATGTAATTTTTCCTTTTCTTTCTTTTACTTTTCTTATGATAGAAAGCTTAAGTGTGACCTGTATATTGATGTCCACGATGCCTTTTCATAATACAGGGGTAGCGATATTTTTTGACGTTTCTACTGAGGCCGTAATTTCTACTTATAGTCGTAATTCTATTTATAGTTATAGTCGCAATTTTTTTTTTGTGCCTGTTGAGTGTTGTTGCCATACCAAGATTATAAAAAAGCAGTGCATTAGCAATTGCATCATTGCTAAAAGTGTGCACTAGCCTGTATGTGCGACCAGGTGGAGCCACACATTCTGTCATGTTTAGGCCTCCACTCAACTGGTAATACACAAATGCTAGAAAGTTTGTGGACAAGTAAAAACTTTCTAATTAAATACACATATTTCTTTCTGTTATATTTGTTGACCTTGTGGGGTCAGCAAGAAACATTCTACAAAGAAAGCTCACCCAGATTCCGGTTTCAAAATGGTCGGGGTGTGTACTCAGTGGCAAAGCCATGGTGTTGAAAATAAAAGTTTTCTTTAACATTACATCTCAAATTCTTTGCCTCAATGTATCGTGAAATGGCAAAAACGTGCAGAGATACACTAAAATCTGGCATTAGGAAGTACCATAATGGTCGATAATTTTTAGTTAATTTTCTTACCCTCCACAGAGGACGCTACCACAGAGCAGCCACAGTCCCAACCGAAAGTGCAGCCAGAGGTTGAAGATCCGCAGCAGCAGCAGCAGCAACAGCAGACAGTGGTGATTGATATTAGCAGTCCGATCGAGCTGTGCCAAAATGCACTGATTGTAGTGAACGGCCAGCGGTGCGTCCTTCAGCAGGATTCTAGCACGGGTCAGGTGCTGGCCTACCCAATCCGAGAACCCAAGCGCAAGCGTGGGCGACCAAGGTACATGATTTCTTTTTTACGCGGTAGCGTTAGAAGCTTGTTTTGCCAAAATTCTTGTGCCAGTGTTGTTGGTTGTGAGCGAAAATTCAAGATAGATTCAAATAAATTAGTTGTAAAAATGTTCTATTAAAGAGGCATTGAACCTTCTGTGCAGCAAGCAGGGGTTCCACCTAGAACCATGCACTGTTCCAGAAAAAAAAAATATATGAATCTCGGATAGCCTAAGAGGAATATCCTTAACGCGTGTAATATTGGGTGAATGGAGTGGAATTGCACCACACATCAAAACATGAGAATTGAGCGTCCAGTGGTCGATTTTAGCTTGTATGGCATGTTGTTCTATAATTAATCACTGTGAATGAGGATGTCATTCTATCGTAGTGTTACATTTAGGTAAAAGGAAATTTTTATCCTGGGCAAACCTAGTGTTATCGGAGTTTGTGAGCAATCTAGGCTCAATTAATTCACTCTCTAGCTGTTCGTTAAGCTGTTGAAATAACATTATGATTAAGTGAAAATCGAACAAGCTAGACACGGTAAGAATGAAGTTACCCGTGAAGCAGTGAAGTAGCATTAAAATAAAAAGAACTATATTTGTAATAATACGAATGGCCAATTCTAGATGTTTATTAAATGCATGATAGATGAAGGTTGTATGTATTCACCCAAGAAGTAATGCCAGGCGCTGTGGCTATGTATGAAGGAAAAGTATAAAGACAAGAAGGCGTCAGGTGAAAAAATACACGAGATTTAATGAGTGCTATCATACCAAATGCTGTTTTTTGTTTAACAAAAGCAATGGGGTTAGTGAATTTCAAATAAAGGTGAAATTTTATGCCTGGAAAACACACAGTCAGATGAAGGAATGATATGATAGTCAATGGACTCTCGTGCTATGAAACAGAGCACTTTTTGAGAAATATTAAAAACCATGAACTGAGTTTTAAGAGGGTTTAAAAGTAAGTTGTTTAAACGACACCATTTGACATCATTGGTCAATTGGTTAGTGACGCTGTGTACACAATTGTGTACACCCCTCGTTTTTGCTATTTGCATCAAGTAGAGGCTAAGAAAGATCAAAATATATCAAACTTTGAATGAATTGAACCTCCTGTATAATAAATTTGCCTTCATTTAACTTCATTTTGCAGTGTACTGATACGTGTGATCACTTTTGTGAAGGCACTACCACATTTGACGAGTCGTGCGACGTGCTGCTTCTTGCAAGCAATGTGGAAAGCAGAATTTTTTTTGCTCAAGACTGACATAACCAAACAATAATTTCCACTACAGTTGAACCTTTTAATAACGAACCTTCATATAATGAATTACTCGATATAACGAAGTTTTTCTATTCCCCGCCGTTGCTCCATAAAAGCACGTGTATTTGCAACCTCTATGTAACAAAGTAACAGTGGGAGACAACCGTGATATAACAAATTTCCCCCCTGGAACAATCTAGGAATTTTACTTCGCATTTTGGTACGAGCATGCATGTCCCGTGACTTTCCGGCCGCCAACAAAGCGCGAAGCGGCAGCAGCGCGCACAGCGCACCAGGCGAGAGTGATCTCTCGTTATTGGGCGCAGGTGGGTGAGCGCGAGATGGGCCTGCACCCCACGAGCTGTCGTGCGCGGTGTGTGCCCCCTCCCACTCCAAACCAAAATTAAAAAAATAAAACTACTTCTGCGCAGTTGGCAGCATCACGCTTTTATTCAGCGCCACATATGCGGGGCCGCGCTGCAGATGGAGGGCACTTTACCGAATACCGTAGTTTTCCGCGATGTCCATGACGTTTGCTCTTCGTTTTCGATGTTGTGCGCGCATGGGACTGCCCCCGACGACGTTCAGCTTTGCTTTTTGTTTTATTATTGTGATAGCAACTACATATGGACTGTCTCGGCTGGTTTTTTGCCGTTCGCCGCTGCCATTCACATATATATGAAAACTCAAGAAACAAATAAAAAAAAAGCTGCCCGCGCACAGCACCCAGTTCGTCACGATGCGCCGACGTGCGCTTATTTCCCATGCGTACTTTACCCGTGAAGTCGTGGGAGGGGGGGGGTGGCAGATGCTTGTGCGCCCACGCTTAATCTTCGGTGAAGAGCAATTCGCGCGCCTTCGACTTTGACCGGAACGATTGCGTTTAGTTGCCGGGCGCCCAAAGATCACTTCGCTCACAGGACAGGCGCTGTTTGCAAAAATAGTGTGCTTTTCGAACACAGTGAAGTAACAACTGGGGCACTTGTTAGTGCGCACTCACATCCTGTACCTGTGATTACGTTTCATGCCTCGTTTTTGTTTAAACAGGGCCTTAAGTGTCGAGCGGCAAACGTTTAGTTCGCTCTTATCCTGTGTGTGTTCTTTTCATACATCATTTGTGCATGAGCAGCGCGCTGCACATTTCGATCTGCTTGCCTTTTCAGCGTTAATTCCAAGTTGTTACTATCGCATTGCTTCGCCCTTGCAGCGAAACTGTGACTTTTGTTAATTTCGGACAACCGTGTCAGTCAACCCCGAGGGCATGTTAGATTAGGCGTTGATAGGAAACTCTCCGAGACCACAGTGACGACGGATATTCGGAGGTTGACTCGTCACGCGCTTTCGTTTTTTGCCGGGACTTCGCAGGCTGGTAGCCTTCGCGATTAGTCGATTAGTTCTGGCAACGCGACGACGCTTTGAGTGCAATGAACGCGATAGCAAAAAAAATGGCAGCATACCCGGAGTGAATGATGGATAGTGGGGCGAAGCATCCGTCCGTCCATTCATTCTTGCTTCCGTCCATTCCATGCGTGCGTCTGTGTGGCCGCCTGTGCGTCCATCCAGCCCGTCCAGTGCGTGCGTCTGTTCGTGCGTCCGCACGTTCATCTGTGCGTCCATCCCTGCTCCTGTGCATCCATCTGTGCATCCATCCATGCATCCTGCTCCTGCGTCCGTTCATGCGTCCATCCGTCCGTGCAGCCATCCGTGCGTCCTATCCATGCATCTGTCTGTGTGTCCGTTCGTCCACCTATTCAACACTCCAGTACCACCATCTCGCATCTTTTCATCATTTATTCTTCATATAGAAGCACCGCCATCCAGCAGACATTCCAAGGACTGAACGAGAAGAGGCACACAGCACACTTTCTTACGGCTTGCGCTTAGTGTCTACTTCCCACCTTTAACCACCTCGAGTTCATGGTATATACCTAGTTCACTGTATTCATGGCACTGCGGCCCAACGCTCGCTAAACCTTTCTAAAACCTAGGAGGCTTACGCCCAGCGAGTATAACGTAGCAACCCTTTCTTGTCTTCTGTGCGTTGTTGAACAATGAAAAATTCAGCAGCGTGCGCGTTAACTAAAAGCCGAATTCTCCTGTCTCTTATTCCTCCTTAGCAGCCATTGGCATGTACATTGAGCACTATCTTTTATTGTTCAACAACGCACAAAAGAAATCTCTCACCGGCACCACCTTGGAGGTCAAAATGTAATACTTGTTACACACTACTACTATGGCTACGAGGGACGAACGGGGGCCCCTATAAGAAGCTTCGCCCCTAAAATTGTAATGCTATGAGAAGTAAGGCTTGCAGCCAACTTTCTGGATCCAAGTATCGCAGAACTCCTACAAAATGCTGGTGTGAGCAAATACGGCCGCTCCAGGGAGAAGTGCTCTTTTCACACAGTCCCTTCGTGTTGAAACCGCACTGATACTCCCCGAAATAGCAAGTGTGCCAGCGATCGCGACCGCCTTTAAAATCCAAGCTAATTACTACTCGAGCAACTCCCCTCGCCCCTCCCCGCGTTGTTTTCATGCTCGTTCAAGACACGGGTGTTTACTTTCTGTTTGAACATTCGACGGCAGTTCTAACATGCGAGAGATGTTATCTTATGCACTTTTCAGGCGATAGGGATGGGCCGACTCATTTGATCTCTGCTTCAGCAGCGCTCCGCAATTTTACCTGCTTGCGAAAGTTGCGATGCGCGGGGGCATGTTATCAATTTGGACTTATTACGGAACATGACGGCGACGGCATAAATCCGTTGAGAGCGTCCATATAATTGCTATCGCATTAATAACACAGTTTTTTACTGTAAAATGAGTGTTTTGGGTTAGCTCTGCCTTCACTCCCCCTTTTGTTTAATTTCGCATTTATTTTTCAAATTTTCATGCCAAACCTGCATATAACAAAATCCTTTTTATAGGGAATTTTTCTGGGAGTTTATAAATTTCGTTATGTCCAGGTTTACCTGTATATTACAAGCTTGAGATTTGATTCTGTTTATGCCAAAAGTAAACATCCATGACTTCAAGGTAAACAGATATTTAAATGAAACTTAATTACTGATGAGCTGCTGTAACACTAATAAATTCAAAAATTATCTCGTTATTCTTATTGTAAAAGAATATCTTATGCCTTGAAGTAACATTGTAGTGATTTGACACATTTACAGACAGTTTGTCGTAGGTGGCGTGTATTAGTATCGTCAGCAGTGAAGAATACATTTAGAATCAGTAACGCAGTTAGGTAAATCGTTCATGTAAATAAAAAAACGTAAGAACCCAAAAATGGAATCCTGTAATAGCCTTTGTAAGGGTGCTGACACCCTTTGTAAAGTTGTTTGCGCTGCATGGCGTATGTGTCTCGCCCAAAGCCGCATTTCGGGTTACAATCACCGGCCGATAGATGGCGTGTTCGCGCTGAGCACCGCTATCATCATCAGGTTTGTTACAGTGGTAGCGCCTGGTGGAAGGCCCGCTTTGGTGGCGGGTGAGAGTTGAGCAAGGCTCTTCGGTGCGTGGCAGTTGCCGTGAACGGTTGTCTCTAGCGTGGGTCCTCGGCGCGTGGTACCGCGGCCTGCGCGCCGGGGGCCCTCGTGGTAAGTCAAGCATTTGTGACCCCGCCTTGGGTGTGTTATTGTGTTTGTCATGTTATTGTGTGTTTGTCGTGTTATTGTGTTGTTTGTATGGTGGCGTGTTGATAACGATTGATGTATCACTTGGGGGACGATATCGTCATTCTGAAATTAGGTAAATAAATGTGTGTTGTTCTTTGTTTGTACCAACTGCGTCAACTGTGTCCTTTCACTCCAAGAGCGTGGCGCTCGCTTCGCCAAGTTCGAGACCCCACACTGGCTTCCCAACGTGGGGCTCTTGGAGTATCGGACGACAGTTTTCGCTGTTCAGGAGCAAGCTTTTGTTAGAGCCCGGGTAAAGTAGGCCTAGGGGGACTTCTTTGCTAGTATCGGCGGTGTGCTTTGTTGAGAGTGAGGAGATCGGTATTTGTGAGGTGTTTGAACTGGTCAGCAGATTGAGTTTTTTTTTTTTCGTTGTTAGTTTTCAAGAAAGTTGTTCAGTTGGGACGAGAGCCATGCCGTCTGCATCCTGGTGTGAGCAAGGCCTAGAGCACGTGAATTGTAGGCTAGGCCTGAAGCGAGCGAGTACGGAAGCTTCGTGGGTGGTCCGATTTTCTGTAAATAGCTTCTTCTATCTCTTTGGGCTCAGAGCCGGGCGTCGTTGCTGTCTTGTATTGCGGCTCGACGCCGGGGCGTCGTAACACCGTTCGGGCGGTGGACGCCGATCGCTCTGTGTTGTGAGTGAAGTGCGCGAGTCAAGTGACTTTCAAATTTGGCGCGTAAGATGAACTACTGACAATGTGTGCAAGATGGCGTATTGCGCCAGTGCGGCGAACACTGGCGATTGGAAAAAGAAGAAAATTCAAGGAAATGGGAGAAAAATCCAGAGCCAGGGCATCAAAGAACGAGGAAGAGGAGATTCGGGCTCGTGCTTGGAAGAAGAAGGCTAGGGTGCGGCGTGCGACCTCGTCGGGTGCGAGTACCTCCTGGGCGTCAGGGCATCCACCTAGCTGGCGACTGTTTCCACGGGGTCCTGGTGACCATTCAACCGCAGCGGCTATTGGCGAATCCTTGGCAAGACCTTGGTCTGATGTTCGAGCGGAAGACAGCGCAGCAGATGACGTCTACCGGGAGCGGGAGCAAGCCGTCGGGCTACGGGCCCGAGCTTATGCACTCTCACCACGGCAGCTTCCCCAATGGACTATTGAAGGGCGTGAACCGCTGGTGAGCCGTATCCGTCTTCTTTCGCGTCCGGACTCAAACACGAGGACTTTAACAAAAAGGACTGTTTAGACTCTTAGAGGTTTCCGCTCGCTAACGAAACTGACAGTGCTAATTAGTTAACATTTTTCTGATCTTAGTATTTTCCTTTTTGTGTTTTTTTTTGTGTGTTTGTGAAAGTATAATTTTTTTTGCAAATCAAACGCTCACTTCCTTTTCTCGTGAGAGAATAACGTTTCACAGCTAGCTCGACTGGCTTTATTTACTGAACCTGTCACACTCTGTAAGCTGCTGTGTGCGGCGAGCGATAGGGCTACCTTACAGAGTGGATGCCTCCTCGTGGATGCCGGTTGTTGTCGAGCGACTCGTTAGGCCTAAGGCTCTGCGCAGCCGCCTGTCACACATGGCACAACTAGGTAGATCGTGGCGTCAAGTTGTTGAACTCTGTTTTCCCTCACTTTTTATCTTTTGATACACGAGTTATGAAAAGGGATTTTTGTTTTTATTTTGATGGGCGTCTCGGCCACCGCCGATGTATTAGCTAGCAGTACTGACCATCATACGACGTGGGCGAAAAGCCTGAAGCTCCCTTCCCTAGTTCCCTGCTCTATTGTTTCTGTCGAGTGTTTTGGAATGTAAGCAGGGGGAGTGTTGTAATCCATGGCTGGCTGTCTTCTGCACATCCTCAGCGCCGCTGGCCAGGAATGTGGTCGTGAGGTCGGGCGATAGAAATGCCTGAAACCTGCACAACTGCCTGCAGTCCAGGCGCCCTCGTGAGTGCTGGTCGCAACCAAAAGATGTGTCGGTGCTAGTGACGGTTCGTCGTGCCGACGGCAACGTTGCTGTTGCGGGACCGGTACTGAGGTGAAGTCGAGCCGGACAGTGCAGCAGTGTCGACCGGCGGCGGTGTCGTAGTGCGCGGTCATTATGTAGAGACATGTGTTGTGATTTTTTTTGTTAGAGCTGGTGTAGCTGATTTTTTCGTTTTTGCTGAATATGGTTTCAATTAGGGTTAAAAAAATGTAAGGGTGCTGACATCCCTGTAAAGTTGTTTGCGCTGCGTGGCATATGTGTCTCGCCCAAAAGCTGCATTTCGGGTTACAATTATCGGGCGATAGATAGCGTAGATGCCACTCAAGTCTTGCTTGAGCTCGTGCCACGATGATTGCCGCGGGCTACTTGAATGTGGCCAACCTGTCGCGGCAATATCGTCGTTCAAAAGTTAGTTAAATAAATGTGTGTATTATTTGGTTTGTACCGACCGTGTCTACTGTGTCCTTTTACTCCAAGAGGGTGGCGTGGTGCTCGTTCGCCAAGTTCGAGACCCCACATCCTTGATCAATTATTTTAATGTGAGTATGACCCCCCCCCCTACCATATGCAGACTGATTGTTCGCAATAAAGTAGGTAATTTTTTTATGAATATGCTTTCCCCTCTTCCAGGAAGGTGGTGCCTCCACCTACTGAGGAAGCTCCACCAGCTGCATCTGCGGAGGAAGCCTCTGTGACTGAGCCTGCTGCTGTGGAAGAAGACGAAGAAGAAGACGATGGTGACAAAGGCATGGTGGAAATTTTCACAGAAGGTCTGTCTCACACTGGTTTCCACGTGTTGCTGTTGTCCACATATATGGATTGAAAGTTTGGGTAGTTGCCACAATGTCATCCTTTAAGTAGTGCCTATAGACATGGACAAAGAAGGCAAGCAAGTCAGCGCTCGTCCTTGTGTGTTTTTTAGGCTGTGCGAATAGTAAACCTTAAGTTCGACGTGAATTGTAATTTGTTCAAATAATTTTGAATCGAATTTGAATGCTATACATCACATATTATAAAGAAAAATGATCATATTTGTCCCAGCTAACCTGACTAATATTTTTTATAATGAAAAAAAGGTAAGTCTGAATTTTATGCTCTTTGGGTCAAAGAGAAGCGGAAGTAACTTTATATGGTAGGAGGATTTGACTCTCGGTAGATTGCTAATGATAACCTGCAAAATATGTCACGTTTTAGAGCTCATCATACTCAGAGCATATAAGCTGGTACAACAAGCTTTTATACTTAAATATTACGAATCAATGTGAGGTTAATATGTTCATTTAACTGTGGAATGAGGCTTCGCTGCAGTGCGAATTTTTTTTCGATAGGTTGTTTCAGGATATAGCACATTCTCACTGCAGCAAAACCACATTTACAGGGAAGTTACCGTATTTATTCGCATAATCTTCACACTTTTTTTGGCGGAAAACCGATGCAAAGGTGGGGGGTGCAAAAATTACGCGGGGAAAACTTTCCACGAAAATGTACAGAGCAAAAAAGAAAACGAAGTTGTCACAAATCGGGATTTCCACACCAGAAACTAACAGCAAGCTTTAAGAAGTACTAATTAAAACTTATCTCAACAATAAAAGCACAGGCTCAATCCAAGGCAAGATTTATTTGAGACTCAAAAAGTGCAAGCAAATAGTCAAGAATTAGAATACCATGCGCAAATCTTGTGGGCGTTGCGGGCATAGCGGTAGCGTTCGTCGCTCAACAGGAGCCCTTAAAAGGTAAGCGTAGGATGTCAGTATTGGGCTAATGGCTCATCTGTAGTTTCCTTTTGAAGAAATAAAGTTTACCATCAATCCCAGTTTTAGGCACACGGCAGGCCCAAAGCATCTTGGTGGCTTTCAGTCCGTCACCTGTAGCGAACACAAAACTCGTAGACTCCGAAGGGTCTACCGGCGGCCCTGTTGCTGTTGTTTAGTGCATGATCTATCACTTTCAGCTTGAAAGCAGCCGTTTAGCTTTAGCCCGATAACGTGACAAAATTACCGACACAACATACAAAACACGCCGCAACGCGCACTTGCCACTTTGGCTTGGCTTAGATTGGATTGAATATCCGTCCAATAATAGCACATTTTATGCTTAAGAGATGGCACCAAATGGCACGCGCTATCATCATCAGTGGCTAGAATGAGCAGACGACATTATTGCGGCAGTTTTCGGGGGTGTGATAATTACTTGAGGAAAGAAAGAAATCGTATTTTTGTTGGGCGATGTGGGGGGTGCAAGAATTATGTGAGTGCGAGGATTATGCGAGTAAATACGGTAGATGCAGGTTAATACACACCTAATTTAAATTTGAATCAAAGTGAGTTTGAGCATTGTGATATTCGTCCAAATATTGGCAATGCTTGAATACAAGCCTGGTTTGCTTGCCTTCCTTGTCTGCATTCAGCTACCCAACGCACTTGCTGCCACGATGATTGGTGTGGTGTATGATACATGCATATAATAGCCTGCTCGGCTCCGGTGTGGTTTAGATCATTCTAACAAGCCATAAATTTTAGATAAAAAACAAACTTTCTGTACAATTACAATTTCTTCAAGTGTTTTTCTTCTTGGCAAGAGTGCAGTCACCAAAGCATGTGAGATCCTATGGTAACTATGTTAACCACAGATCTCCTCAATTTCGAAATTAGAAAGCAAGCATTTAAAAAAAATAAGAGAATTATTATTGTTGGAGGACTAAATGAATCAGTAAAGCCTATGATTCCGCATCAATGTTATGTTTTGTTTTAGTTCTCTCTCTCATTTTCGCATGTGGCTCGTAAGCGCTATCACTGCCTTTCATCAATCTTTTTTGTTCGAGGGTTATATGTGCATTTTTTGTTATACTTTTTCTTCTACTTTCTTTAGTGCTCAATACCAGTCAAACTGTATAACATAGATATTTTGTCTCTTTTCGGTTATTGTATTTAATTTTGATGAATTGTACATCTTATCTATGTGAACAAGTGTAGTGTTTGATTTTCATGAACGCTTTTATTTTCGTAAATGTCTTTCTGCACGGTATAGGTGGCATGGCCCAGTCAGACAATGTTTGCCTTTAGCCCTGTCTAATGGGAGCATTTCAGTGATTGTTCCTAATAAAGTAATGAAGAAAGAGAGAGAGATCACAGCCGTGCATTACGTTAAACATAAGAAAAAAATTCATAACACCACATCTGGAGGTTTGTGGGGCGGCGAGTTTCATTTTCTTAATATTTTCTGGAATAGGAACGGTTCTGTCGTTCTTTATTCCAGTGTATTCTGATGAACAAAGTGAGGCTTTGTGTATGTTTACAATGACTGTATACATCACTGGTTTTCTCAGAATGTAGTTATTTGTGAGTAACTCACTTCTATCTCGAGTTCTTCCTTGTGTGGTTATGCGTATTTTTGTATTTCAGTAAGGGTTTCGCATTTGTGAACACTTGCAGGCTATAGAGCTTTACACTGCACCCTTTTCGGTGTTTTGACTTCGTATCGGCTCAACTCATATTTTTACATAGCACTGAATCCTCCACAAGTCGCTCGATGCATGGCTTATCATTAAAAAAGGTAGGTGTGCATGCAAACATGAATGGAAGATATCAAGACAACACTTTTGTGTTCGTCACTGTCCGCTTAGCTGTCTATTTAGCACAGCTAAAATTGTCAGGGTGTGGCACAGAAGGGTAAGTCTAGTGTACCCTCATTTCAGATGGTGCCCTTGTGCGTAGGAGTCGGCGGCGGCGAAAGGTGGCACGCACCATGAAGGGTAAGCACCTAGGCGTGTGTTAGGCTACTCTTGATTGAACATGACTACTCTTGAACACGACTACTCTTGATTGAACATGATTGAGGTGACATATAATGGTACTTGCTTGAAATCTGCCTAAGGCGTGTTGCCGGGCTAGTTCGCTATACCTATATAAATGATTTACTTGCTTGGGCCAGTTGGTAGCTATTCATTGTTACCTTATTGCGCACTGCTTAAAAGACGAGCACTTGAGATGAAGGATTAAACAGCACAAGTGCAAAGACATGCTTGCTTTACGGTGATGTCCACGCTGTTGCAGACTACCACTTGAGCGAAGGCAGTGAAAGCGAGCAAGATACCGAGCCTGATCCAGAGCCTCGGAGGCGTGGTCGGCCACCTAAAAATTACCACGAGGAGGACCCTTTTTGGAGGCGTGAGTGAATCGCCCTATAATTGGGCTTTGCCTTGTGTCGGAAAACATTGATATCGACGCACATCAAACTTTGCTACATGGCAAGTTGCAGTTGAAATTCTACTGTTCGTACATGTGTAACGCCTTTTTGTGTACTTGTTTCCTTGTATTTGCTGGTACCCTGTTTCCAAGTTGCAACCACAATTGTAGTCGGCAGTGCTCCGACCACACAGACACATACTGTGCCATGCCTGCCAATGATTGATTAAAACTTTATTTATTGATTAAAACTTTATTTATTGATTAAAACTCAATTTTTAAAGATATTTCTTCCACACTGAAGTAAAACATTAAATGAGGTTAGACAGGTGAATTATTTTTTTTTAGGACTCTATGAAAAATATTTTCACACTGATAGTATATTGAAGGTCAAAGCTTCATCTCTAATTTTCATGCTGAAACTTTAGCACATGTACATCATGGTGACATTGTGAATTTTATTGTGTTTTTTTCGCATATTTTAGTCACACTAATTCAGTGAAATTTTTTGAAACTTGCAATGTTAAGACCTTGTGTCCTTCAGAACACAATGTAAATCATATTTGGTGACAAACAATTATGTACGTCATGGAAGAGGCCATCGAAATTTATGATGTCACTGCAAGCTAGTGTGAAAACTTTAGTATGGCGTTGCCAGTTGCCTTTTTTTTTTCATTTTTGCTCACTTTCTCGCATGCCAGGCATGATTCTCAGCTATAGATGTGTCGGGGACCCCTTGTGGACAGGTGGAAGTGCAGGGGAGGGGAGGGAGGGGGGTAAGTAGGTACATTAACACAACTGGAGCGTGAAACAGGGGCCTTTTATTGCTACCGAAAACATCAATAAATTTGCCACATCGCTTCATTTTAGAGAGTTCATCAATACGTGGCACAGTAACTCTTAAGGAAAAGTGAGGGTTTTTGCGGATCATAGAAATAGCTTCGCAAACCCTAGTGAATCCGCAGACCCCCATTTGAGAACCACTGTCCTAAGGTAAGTGTGGGGCTTGTAAATTGCGAAATTGTAATTTACTAATACAATAATATTTTAGTTTTCTTTTTTCATTTTAATTGTCCTAATAGAATTTTGTTTAAGTTAGCATGATTTATAGAGCCTATTTACAATTGTCACATAAGAGTTATTAACTCCTGACTAGTATTTCATCATTTTAGTTTGGGGCAAAGAGTCTAGAACGAATACAGAATAATGTTGCCAGCCAGCATATATAAGACAACAACCAAAATTTTAAGAATGCTTGATGGATTAACTTGTTAAATAGTTCTCTCTGAAGTACTTAGTAATATAGGTGTGATTTCATAGTGGAATTCCCCTTTGGGGCAACTGCCATAGACCAAGCTTGCAAAAGTGTTTAATTTAATTGATCAATGATACAGTTTTATTCTTTTTTCAACATTTCTAGGCATTCTATATATTTTTTTTAGGCAAGCAATTTCAAAATCTTGAGGCAAGCCAGTTAGCTAAGCTTACTGACCTGTGCAAGGTTCCACTCTAGAGAAGGCATTGCATAATAAATGGCATTGAATTGAATCAAACTGAATTGACTTTATTTGCAACAGTAAAAGCAATGTTGTGAGAGACCTGCAGAATAAAATTATGCCATTTCCCACTAAAGGGAACCATGTGTGGATGCGAAGCAGCGGATGCTAATGTTTACACTGGCGGTGGTGTTGACGCTGGTGCTCATCGCAGTGTTGCATAGGAAAGAAACCTGGGGAAGTGCAAAGCACGCAGTTATCTTACTTGAACCAGCCAATTGCTGCTAATAGGCAATGAGAGACGGAAGACTCCGATTGGACACAGAGACCTGCAGTCCACTTTTAGATAATGCGCATGGTGCGAGTTTTTATTGTTCAGTAACACACAAGAGAAATCTACCACTGGCACTACCTTGGAGCTCAATATCCAGTGCCTGTATATGGGGCGGCCAGTGAACGGTTGTGCAGCGCGAGGAGTTGGTTTTGTCAATCAAGAAACTCGCTAGCAGACGTGGCCTGCGTTGGCGTTGCAAGGCAAGAGAGGGGGAGAGACATAGGAGAGAGGGCAAGGTGAAGTAAACATCGCAGGTCAAGGGACACAAGCGCCCGGCATAAGATGCTTCCCGTCTACAAAATGGCAACTTGAAAGTGTCCTGGCCACCGTACACACATGTTAGCACTACAGTGGTTGCAAAAAAAAAAAAAAGAAAGCAGATACACAGTGCATTGTACATGACTTGTGCACAGAAACAAAGCATGCTTGCAGCTGCCACATGTAAGCCACTTGCACAACAAAAATATTTTAGTGTGATAGCATCAAAGAGGTTGTTTTTCAGAAATTCCAGCAGCGGTGTCGATGGTTGCGAGTGGAAAAAATCAGTGTTGCTCGTTTGTGAAAATTTCAGATAGATGCTAGTAAATAAATAAATAATTAAAAGATCTTCGATTTGAGTGTGAATTCAACCTAGAACTTCTATGTGGCAAGCAGATTTTCTACCTCAGAGCCATGCCTGTGCTCAGAATTGCTCTGGAAAAAAAAATTGGTATGAATGCTCTGTCATGTTATTAATACAAGTAATATCACAATGACAAAAGCATCAAACAGCACTAGGTGTCAAAACATCCTAATTGCACAATGAAGACTTTGTTTAAAAGCTCACCAAGTATTAAGAACACAGGCGTAACAATTATCAGCAACACCATCAAAAACGTGTGAAGCTGCGCAGAAGGGCGTGTAGCGGGCACTTTGCAACTGTGCTTGCAGTAGGCATGCTTGGATAGCTTGTTCACAGGCATGCAGACATTCCTTTCCTTGTGGCATGGTTATGAGAAGACAACATGAATAGGCTTCAATAACGCTATCACAGTCTACCCTTGAAGGCGAAGCTCAAGCATCCTTCAAGTTTTCTTGATAAACTTGGAAGCAGTATATCATTTTTAATGAAAGAACAATTAAACTAATAATGATAATAATTACATGGCATAAAATGCTTTCTCTGGTTTAATAAATGAACTTCGTAGTACGATGTTGGTGTTGAGTAGCAGTCTAGATCATGCTATCGTTAAGGCCGACCTCTGCCTTTCTGTAAATAAACCTGTTTCTCTCTCTCTCTTGTACAATGTTAATGAGCTGTTCCTTACTAATTGCATTTTGTAATGCTGGTAGCATGAACCACAATATTTGTTACTCATAATTAGTATGGTGTTTTTTTTTATGTGCTGTTCTTCTGGTTTGGGTTTATTGTACTTTGTCAAGTTGGCTTGTATTCCTGCAAGGATTTGTAATGTGTAATTTTTCTTCACTGAACCAGATCTATACTTATGATGTGAGTCATAATTACTCGCGGAATTCGCATTGTGCAGGATCGAATGTACGTCGCCGGCCTCGTCTGCGAAAAAGGGAGGGGACAGCTCGGAGCAACCCTATGCAAGCGTTCCTGGTGCAGATGGCTGATGGTCAGACACTCGTGATGCAAATACCGGCTGCTAGCATTCCGGAAGGCATGGACTTGCACCAAGTGGCACAGAACATCGCCAACAGCCTCAATGCAGCAGCAGCGGTAAGCTGCAAAGCTTAATGAAAACTAGGCTCACGTAAATATTAGTAGACTGTTTCGAATATTTGAACAAATATTACAGTTTTCAAATTATCTTTGACACAAACTTAAGCATCTTAAATGAACTAATAGACATATGTTTATTGCCTGCAACCCACCGAAAAAGCTGGTTTCACTGTGCAGAGAGAATTAAGCGGAGTTAAAGGACCCCTGACCGCCGAAGTATTGTTTGCGACATTTTTTTTAACAGTAATTTGTAGCTTTGCATCTAGTAATCCTGAAATTCGTGAATGCTGGATTACACCCTATAATTAGTGTTAGCAGTATTGATTCAAAATGATTTCAGGTAATTTCGGAATGACCGCCTAGTATAAGAAACTAGCGCCCCATAATTGGGGAGCGCCTGAGGCTACATGTGCTCAAGCTTCAGTGATGTTGAATGCACTGTTTTCAAAGGGAGAGACCCACAGGTAATTCACAATGAGATGGTGTCAGTGCTTTATGTTCCCCTCAGAAAAAGAAAAGCATTTCTGTCGTAAGCAGCCAAAACCACCTTGAGAGCAGCACGATAACAGATTGAGAGCAGTGACGAACAGTCCTCGCCTTTTACCATTAGGTGTATAGAAAATGTTCTCTGAAGTCGACAATACTCGCCTTACTCTCTATACGTTAAACCAGAAAAGATGTTGATTGGTGCTGATAATTCAAATGAGCACTATCCCTTACTTTAGAACCAAATTATAAGATCTAATAGACAAAGCTCATCACTAATAAGCAAGCAGAAACCCCCTTATGCAGGACTCTCAAACAACGCATGCATCTCGAGTTTCCAAGTTAGGTGTGAGGGGTGTTTTAAAGAAATGTAGACAATATTTCAAAAGGGACGTTTAGAATAACGTTCGCAGGCGTTGCGGGCATTGCTTTTAGTTGTGGGCATCATATGAGTTTTAGAATAGTGTTTTCTCACCCTAGAGAAAAGTCTAGGGACTTTTGCCCCTACCGCAAACCCTAATGCATGGAAGCTACACACAGCACTTCGCGGGCCACGATCGTTGTACACTATTTCGGATTTTCTGCCGGCGGGCCGCGAACGCAAACGACGGCTCGCACTACAACGCATGCGCAGTGACCGCACCGCAAGAGCTCGCGTTGCGCTATTCTAAAGCTCCCTAATATCTCGCTTTTCAAGTAGATTTTGTCAAAGTGATTCGAAAAGCAGCTTTGTTGGGCCAGAATAGATATGTAATGAATATTGCGAGTTTTTCTTAGTTGCAATTGAGTTCTACCGATATCTGCAAAATGGCGGAAGGGTTATGCAACAGAGAATGGACTACCTCCTGATTACAGCTAAAAGCCCCCAGAAAATACTATGGATTTCTCGGAAATGAAAGTTTCTAGTTGAAGGGGAAAAAAAAATTGAAGCTTTAACTAAAAACCAGAAACGAAAGCATCATATGGAATTTTTATTTCTGAGAAATTCGTACATATTTCTTTGTGGCTTTGGCTGCGATAAGTTTTTTTAAGTTATCCTTTTAATTATTTTGTTGTAGTCACTTCAATTGAATGACAAGAGTGGTTATTTATTATAGTACGAGTAATTCCAAATGGTGTCAAAGCCTGCATTTATGGCAGCTACTGGTGTCGTGCGACTTGCAGCAACAGGCCGTTTCAGAAGGGGTACTGACAGCTGAAGAAAGCAGCCACATCTCCCGTCCTGGTGGCACTGCAAAATGCCGTCTCAGGCGAGCCACAACTGCAGCCACCACCACAACCTCAACTGCCAGCACCAGCAGCAAAACGCCGACCAGGGCGACCTCGAAAGAGGCCGCTGACACCACCACCACCTCCGCCTCAAGCAGAAACGACCGGAGAGAGTCTGGTAACTCCCATCACAGCTTGTCCAACAGATGCTCCGTCAGATTCCTGCAACAAACGCTTCAACCGACGCACCAGCAGGTGTTCCCACAGAGGCTACAAAAGACTGTCTGGTGGATGTTTTGACAGAAGGTCTGACGAACACTCCGAACAATGTGTCGGAAGAAAGTTTAGCCAATGAATTGACTGTGGGTGTAACGAAAGGTCAACTGACAGAGACTCCTGCCGACGATGGCTCCAGTGATGGTGTGGCCACTCGTAGCGTGGCTGCAGTGATTGCCCAGAGTCTGGAAGATGCTGTGGCGCAGGTGCTCGGAGGGCCCACTGCGGGGCCACTCTTGGGAGGACATGAACTTGCCTCTGTACAGGTTGGTGTGTTAGCAACCTGTTTGGGAATTGTTACTGATCTTGTTAAGAAGTCTTTAGCTCTATGTTTGGTAGTGTTGCTGATTGTAGTCCGATTTTCACTTTAATATGTGGCCATGCTTGAAATACTTAATCACATATGTGTGATAATAAGCAAGTAAAAGGGAAGTTGTGGGAAGCTTTTCATTTTCCTTGTGAACATTCTAGGAAGGAGTGGCGCAGTAAGCGCCATTCTGATGGCAATTTTTGGCAGTGGCCCCTGTGAAATAGAAGGAGAGGGGTGTGATGGAACCCTGTGGCCACTGCAAATGCAAGTGTTGCAAAAACATGTTTTTTTTTTGGTTTTTTTAGACATCTGTTTAGCATCCCATAAGTACAGTGCAAATTTATTGCATGACTAAGGTCCCTTCAACTTTATCTTACCGAGTGCTAACTTAGTAGTACAGTGGAAGTGCTAACACATGGGGCAGAGTGTTGTGGGGTAACAAGGAAAATTAAGAAGTTGGAAACTGCGTGACATGCAGTCGAATAAAAAATGATTAGTAGAAAATTAAGGGCTGGAAAGAGACTTCACAGGTCGGTGCACTCACTCATGGGTTGACTCACTAAGACTCAGATCGAGCCGTGAGTCTGAGTCCAGGGGGGGTGGATATTTCGGTGAGTGAGAGTTTGAGAAAGTCCAAGTGAGTTCAACTCAAGAATTACTTTTTTTTGGTCTAAGTCCAAAGCGTGAAATAATTTTCTTGAGAGAGCCTGAGTGAGTTGCACTTTCTTTGCCTCTATACAGTTGAACTCCGGTACAACGAATGCCGCTTCGACAAAATTTCCGCTACAATGAAAAATGCACGATTCCCCGTCAGCAGTTCATAGGAGTCAATGCATAAATATTGTCGCCGCAACGAACACTTTTTCTTCGATTGTCCTGCTTCAACAAAATTTTACAATGCGATTCCAGGCTCAGACTCTTTTTGCTATGCAGTAAACCCAATCCTTAACATTTCGATGCATTCTTAGAGCCTGAAAATGTGTCAACGAAGTCTAAAATGCGTGTTGGCACCACCAGAAATCGCCACTGTTCAGCAAGCATGGGTGCCGCCATTGCTCGATAGCAATGACAATAAGACTGCCCTGGCCCTGCTTTTGCCACTGGCTTGCTTTTAAGTCGCAAACGATCCTAAGCTAAAGCTCAGTCGCTAAGTTAATGATTTTCTTCACGCAGCTGCTGGAGCAACCGCGGAACGATGCCTTTTCCAATTCCGATGCTTATCAATATGTTCGCGCTTGGCCAGTGTGGTAACTAATCAGAGCGACTGTTTGTTCGCATTATCAACAATACCAGCTAGCCGCGAGTGATGGATGATAAGAATGACACAGAATAATGCAAAAGTTGCCGCTCGACAATAACCTGCCTTCATCTCGGCGTTGTCAGATACTTTTGGCGGCAGACAGCTGCTGGTGTTAACGTGTTAAAGCACTTGTTTGGTTCGTTCTTGAAGGCGGTTTGGGGTGCTGCTTCAGCGTGCTTTTCCCCATGGCCTCGCTACGCATGGGTGAGAATGGCGTCGTGACGCTGATGGGAAAGAATAGGAAGCAGCGGACATTTTCTGAATTTTGAGAATAAACGTTCCTTTGTTTTGCTAGCTCAGATGAGCTATATTTTTTCGATTTCACCACAACGAAATTTTCGCTTCAATAAAATTATTTCCGCACCCTGTTAGTTTCGTTGTAGCGGGGTTCGACTGTAGTGCTATCTACTCATCTTCAGCACTGGTATCAGCCTTACCTGATAATAAAGTTTATACTCACATCTACTCTTGCGTACCCTAACTCTTCAATATTTATTGATAAGAGGCGTGAATTATGTAGGAAAATGCCATGAAAATCCCTGCCATCAATACTTCCGAGGAAATTCCTGATAAATATCTCTTACAGTGTCACCTCTTTCGAGACTAATGTCCTCGCTAGTTTTCAACCACACCACTGAAAACTCATATTCCAACTTACCATATCAGAAAGCATCGATTTTGTGAGGTATTGGTGTACAAGAGCATTGCCACCATTGTTGAACAAGCCAATTCTATGCTAACAGATGCACGAGTCTACTCACTTGGACTCAGATTGAGCTGTGAGTCCAGGTGAGGGATACTTGGATGAGTGTGAGCCCGGTTTAGAAAAATTTTGGCAAGTTTGAGCGAGTCCAAAGCGTAATATATATTTCTTGAGGCAAGTCTGGGCGAGTCCCAGTTTTTGCCGACCTTTGGGAAGAGTACAACATGGATTAGAAAAGAAAATTCTGGTAGAAGACGTTTTAGCTGATAATAATGTGAAAAATGTGAACCTGGGAAGTCTTTATGGATTTTCTTGGGGATTTGTGCTACAGTAGAGTGGTTGACAATTAACACCTTTCGTCACATTCATTGTGTGAATACACCTTGAAAGGGCTTCACTTTAGTCATACAAATTAAAAGGTGGAAAATCTCACGTACGGGCTACATTCGCAGTTACTATGTCATGACGCAGCCTGTCGAGGAGTCCATCCTCCCGAACAGCTCTGATGATGCGATGGTGATTCCACTGCATGACAAGCTGGTCGCTGTCCATGCAAACACTGACGATGCTACAGTGATCCCTGTGTCCGAGAGGCTTGTCAATCTGCTGCTTCCAAAGATGGGTATGTACACTATGTAGCCCGCTGACAGAAACTTTATTAATCATTGTTCAAATAACATCTTTGTCTAGTAACTTGAAAGATGAAATTCAAGTAACGTGAATTTCATCTTTTCACTGCTATAGGGGGTAGTAAGAAATCTGTACTTAAGGATGAGGAATGCAAAACCACCACTCCTGAAAGTGCAAGTAGAGCAATATTTTGACCGCCTCATAAGCCTTGTTTCTGATAGCACATAGATACACAAACCTTAGCGTAAAATATTTGTTTGAGAATGGGTGGTGGATGCGTCGTGATGAGCTTGCAGCATATACGTTCTTGGTACTGCAATTGGCAGAAATGGTAACATTACTGGAAGAGCACCCAGCGAGGCAACCATTAATTGGCCAAGATGCTAACATCACCCCAGCAGGCTCCTCAATTTCTCTTCTCTTGGTGCGACATCAGTTGTCATGGTCTCTAATTTTTGATATCTGCTGAGCACATGTTATTTGCTTAGCTAAATGCTATTAAAGGGTTTACGTTAAAGATGTACATAATTCAGTACTCTTTAGGTTGGCTAAGAATTCACTATGCACTATAGTATATACAGGCTCAGTTACAGCCTAAGAAAAAATGTCAGCTATGCCTGCAGACATTGCTGTCCCTTCCGTGAAGAGAGTTTGCATAAAATTTGCATCTAATAGCGCTTACTTTTTTCTTACTTCAAAAACTTCTAGAATGTTTCAGATAATTGAAAAACTGAACAGTATATTTCATCGCCTTGGGAAACATGCCAGCACTATTGGTAAAAGGGCAAATCTTTTGGCACACATCATGTGCTTGATTTCATGCAAGTGCAGATTGTTGGCAAAAGAAGAGACCGATGGGTGGGGGGACTACATTAGACTCTTATTAAACAGAACCTGAGGCGACTGGAAAAATAAAGGTTTCATTTAATGGAGTTGCTGAGAGACAAACAGTGCTGCAGAATACAAGTATGAAACTGTAATCCTATCAGAGGCAGTTGTCCCATTTTAGTTCGATTTAACAGATGTGTTTACTGAGAGTACTTATTAGACGTATTTTGCATTAGAAGGAAAGGGTGCACCTGTGCCAGCGATGCATTAGTTGTGCTGCACTCAAAGGTTGATACCACTAACATGGATATAATGAATTATCAGTTATGAGAAGTAAATGAAGAATAGTTTTGTGGTAGATACAGTGTTATAGATATTAGTTAATAACAAATTTTTTAATATAACGGAGATTCTACGACATATGTCACTTTGTTGTAATGAGGTTTGAGTGTATATAGATCTGAATTATGTTTGTTTAATGGACAGTGTCCGTGATGACGTGTCTGGCATCATGCTTTCATGCCACTGCACCCGCTTGGAAGTTTACTTCGTTTTCCAGATTTAACCATTGATAAACTGTTGGTTGGTGGTGCTCCTCTGTCTTTCCTCAGTTTTTTCGTCATGATTCAAGCATTGTGCCAGGGGTAACATGTTCAGCAAACACAGCACCAACTCACCCAAGAACAAGTTCTTCTTGAACTTGTTCTAGAACAACCCTGCTTCTTTCTTTTTTTTTCTATTTTTCAAGGCTCCTCCTGACACAGAAATCGCACCTCAGAGATGAATAACTGGATTTATGGATTACACAGGCTGGAGAATAAAGAAATGGTTACATGTCCGTACCTTGTCAAATGATTGTGTTTTCACAGCGCACAAAACAAAGATGAAAAAAGGTACAGTGCTTTGTCGTCCTGGTTCTGTGCGCTCTGAAACCATCGAATTATGGGGCACGAACTAACCACTGCCAGCTCAGCCTTACTGTCAAGTTATGAACGGAAATAGAGCTGTTCAAAAAGTTGATGCAATGACTTGTTTTCATGTAGGTGAGTCTGCGGAGGAGCAGCAACAGTTGCAGTGTCCAGCGTGCGAGTTTCAGGCAAGCTACGCGCAGCACCTGCAAGAGCACCTGCTGAGTTCGCACTCGGACGCTATCGTGCGATGTCGTCGCTGCCCCTTTGTCTGTTTGTCTCGCGACGTGCTCGTTACCCACTACCGAACGTTGCACCCACGCTGCATCTGCCCCTACTGTGACCACATTGGTGAGCAGGTGAGAGTTATTAATCTCGTTTGACTCGATTTCAGGGGATCACTAAAGAGGAGGAAAAAAAAGTTCAAGTGTATCATGTAGGGAATTCTTCTATTTTTGAATTCCTGCATTAATAAACAAAGCTTGATAAGCCAGAAGGAAACACGAAACCAGACATGCAATTCACCTCGAAGTTCAGCCAGCTCTGAGTCATCATGTTCGACAAACTTATTTCTCAACTCGTAAAGATGGAGCATCTCAGCATCTAAGGAATCCTAAATAATAATAAAATTTATAGTTTTTGTACCCAAATTTTTATCTGATTATGAGGTCTGCCAAAGTGGAGGGTTGTACAAATTTCTTTCACATACCGTAGTATTTTTAATGTGGCATGGAAAAAAAAAAGTATGCGAGCCCCAAGCATTTGGCCTCCATCGAAATGTGACCATTGCAGCAGGGAATCGAACCCGGAGCTTTCGAGTCTGCAGCTGAGCACTGTAGCCATCTCAAAAGCGAAGAAAATGTACAGTCCGCACAATATGAGTATGGTTAAATTGATTCCAAGCCTGAACAATGGCACTGACAAGCATTAAATTGGTTTCAAAAGTACCGCTAAATGAGACAGCTTAATTCTCAGATTTTTTTCTTTGTAGGTGCCGCATTACTGTGTTGGTGCATTTTGAGTACAGACAGCTTGTTGCAACTCTAATTGAGTGCGGCTGTACCGCTAAGCATGAGTGCACAGGGAAAAATTAATTGGAGTATGTTTTAAAAGCTAGTTTCGGTTACTGCACACCATTTCTTCGTAGGGGATGCACAAACGGCTGTTTTGGAATTTTCGGTTACATCTAGCCAGACTTCTGCATAAAGCCGCCAGAATTAGTTTTGGGGCAGAGATGCTAGTGTCGCAAGGCCGCCAATAGTGTTGAACCCTATCAAGTTAGATTACCTTAGTGATTACCTTAGACCCCCCCCCCCCCCTCGTCTTTTTTGCACGTTTTTATTCAGCCATCACATGTTTAGTTTTTTATATATGTGTGGGTACGTTCTTCAAATGAATTCAGTTGATAGTTAGCACAGTGTTTGTGCTCTCCTTTTCTGTGTCTTCTACCTTACGTTTAATTATGAAATATTACCAATACACTCTTCTGAATTAGTTCTGTAGCCTGATGTCAAGCTAGTGTTGATGTTGGTAGGTGCGCCATGGTATAACTCACTTTGGTACCAAATTAAAATGCCTTATCAGCAAATCCTGAGCTTCACACTTGCTTAGAGCTGTCTCTGGGCATAGGAGATTGGTACAACAGAGCAAACTCACATTTGAAAAATGGTGTTACTACCTCTTTCTGTTTCACAATCACTCAAACAAAATTTTGTATTTTCTGATGTCTTACTGTCGTACTGGTACTTGTACGTAGTTCTTGGCACGAATTTATAAATTTGGTAGTTCTACCTCCATTTCTTCAGTTTGGATGACCTCTTGCTGCTAAATGAATGAAGTAGTAGTTTTGAATGAACAGTGATGGAAATGCTGCTCCTATTGCTCCAAACTGCTCCAAAAGAGATACTGCTCTATGCTGCTCCGAATTGAGGTTTTTGTTCGTAACTGCTCCAAACCTGCTCCAGAATTGCACTGAATGATGAAGACCATCAACTTTAACTAGGTGTGTGACTCGCAAGTCATTAAGAAACTGAAGACAATTTTTATATTATCATCCTGGCATGCTAATATGCAACTTTGTTGGCTCTTATCTTAATTATGCAACAAGAACTGGCATATCAAGCTTTGAGATCATTTAGCTATTTTCAATTTTACATGCAGGCTATTTCAGTGACATGTGAAATTTACAAAGATGGTATTTTGAACACATAGCTCCTATCACGGGCATTCGGTATCACGGGCATTGTTGGTTTTTACAATTTACGTTTATTGTAGGCTATGAAACATCTTCCGTAATAAATATTGATAGCTATGCAACACTTTGGTGACTTTTTGAATTCTAAGAGCTGCATAGCGTATTTTGCAATCTGCTCCTAAAACATCAATAGCTGCTCCAAACTAGCATTTTTCCTGTTACTAAAACACTTGTGGCTACTCGAAAGTGATACTTCTGCTCCAAATGCAGCTTCAAAAAGTAAAAAGTTGCATCCATCACTGGAAAGAATGATTTGTTGGTCGAAGCTGATATGTTGTTTGGTGTTGACAGTAAGTACCTTTTTCTCTAAACGAGACCATGTTCAAATCTTGTTCAGGCGTATGCCATCCGGCGCCACGTGGCACGGCACACACAGCCGGGTGCTTGCATCTGCCCTGTGTGCAACAAGCATTACAAGGACCCGTACATCCTCAAGATGCACGTCAAGATGGTGCACATGCCGGCCGAAGTGCTGTTCGAGTGCTCCCTGTGTGGAAAGAAGTTCAACCGCAAAGCCCATCTCAAGCGACACGCCCGCACGCACGACCCCAACAAGCCACTGAAGTGTCCCCTCTGCGATTACAGGTCAGTGCGCTGTTTGTTTAGTACTGCGTCCAAAGGATCTGATGCGAATTTTAAATATCTTCAGATTGTTGCTATAGATAAAAGCACTGAACCCTTTCCCCATCAATGACTGAGCGTGAAGTGGCGGCATCGCACATGGCCTGTTTCAAGCTCCGGTGGCAGTGAGGCGAGAGTGAACGCTTGTTTGTGCGAGTGAACGCTTGTTTGTGTGTGCGGGTGGCCGACAGGTGGTGCGCCCTTCAAGCCAGCATTGCCAGAGTCTACCTCGGCAGCTACATTCTAAAAAACCCGCTATGCAGTGCAAGTCGGCAAAGCACGGGACAAGTCGATCTCTGTAGACCCATTGTTGCAACCATGGTCGCGGACAGTTTCCATCAGTGCCCCATCTGACATCTCTTGTGACGACAAAGTAGCCTGCATTTTGAAAATTATTTTAACAAGACGTGCCAAGCTAGATGTCATTAGGAGCTGCTCTCTGCGTGCACAGTGAAAGTATGCCCACTCGCACATCGAAAATGACAGGGATACCACGAAATATTTGAAAAGTATGTTTCATATGCGGCGCAGCTCCACATACGCAGTACGAATTTGAAGCATAAGCATAATGACACAGAGAAAGAATTTTGTTTAAGGGCGTCATCTGGTGTCACTTTAACAAAGTGCCATTCAAAGACTTCTGCGACAACCTAAAAGTGGTGCTGCCAACACAAGTTTTTTTTTTTATTGATATAAAGAAAGCTGGCATGTTTTCCATGGATTGAGTGTACTAGAACTGGAGCGTCCATGAGCAAATGGGGGAAGGGCGTGTGTGCGCAAGGAGTGCAGATTCACCTAGCCTCCTTACGTACACCCGCATGCGCAGGCGAGCGGTCACTCTCGGCTTACAGTCGCAGGGGCTGCGAGCTCACCATGCGAGACACCACCACTTCTATCTCTGTCATCAGTGGGCCAACCACAGAGGTTGCATGCGTCTCCTACTTGAGCCAAAATCCTGGGCAGAATTCTTCAGTTGTCGTGGGCCGAAATTTGTTGTATCGAGGATGCCCCTTGCTGCCATTTCATTACATAGAGGTTGCAATTACATGTGCTTTTATGTACTAATGGCAGGGAATAGAAAAGCTTTGTAATATCGGGGAATTCATTGTTTCGGGATTCGTTATAAGCAGGTTTAACTGTATGGACAAACTCAGCAAGTTTCATCACAGTCAATCAAAAAACTTGGGAAAACTTTTTAAAGGGGCCCTGAAATACTTTTTGAAATAATCATGGAATGGATTCACTGAAAGAGCTTATTGCCTCACGAACTCAATGTGTAAGCATTTTAAGAGTGTTCAGTATGAGCGGAGTTACAAATATTTGCCGCACGCTGCAATCGCATTTTCTCTTCTTTCGTCCCGGTAAAAGTGCTGGAAGCTAAGGAAGCAGGGATGGAAGGGGCAAAGAAAATACGTCATGGATGTCTCGTGATCTTGAGCACTTTTTTCTCTTTCTTTTTGTCTAGTATGTACCTTCTTTAATGTGACCGCGCGCGCTTTGACGAGTTGTGACTTTTTGTGGCGATCTCTGTAACGACCGAGCACGCCATGTTCAAATCAGCCAATGGCTGATAGAAGGCCTTTTATGAGTGATTTTATAGCTTCTTCTATCATCGGTCGAAGAGAAGAGAAAGCAATTTTCAGCTGACTTTGATAATTCATTGTGAATTCCAGGCCACGTGCTGTGCTATAATATTTGGCTCGCGTGTTTTCGGGAGCCTCTACTAACGATCAGTAGCGTTTTCTGACCATGCTCAGAAACTGTTGCAGGGCCCCTTTGAGTGCCATAGGTAGTAAATGCATAAACTGAACTGAGCTGGACTGAATTATTGCAAGCTGATGGCAAGAGCAGCCTTTTGAGAGAGAGCCCTTTGTGTCTTTACTTTGGTGCAGGGGCTGTGAGCGGTCAGACATCACCAAGCACATGCTTATCCACGAGGAACCGAAGCACGTGTGCAACATCTGCAACCGCTCGTTCGGCACGCCAAGAACAAAGAGCTGCACCTGAAGCGACACAAGGGCCAGAAGGACTACAAGTGCGGCGTGTGCGACTTCTATGGCTACACGTTCACCGACATCCGCAAGCACATTGAGAGGCGTCATGCCGACCCACACACAATCCTCTGCCACCGGTGCGGCCAGGCCTTCAAGAGCCAAGCCCTGCTCAAGGTGGGCCCACCCTACAAATTCAATAATACCATGTGCGTTTGTTGCTCTATTTCAATGTATTTGAGTTTCACTACAAAGACTGTTGGCTTTACACACGGTGCAGACAGCCTTGCAATGTTTAGGAAGCTTCACAATTGTTTGGAATTGTTCTGTTAAGATTACATGCAGGACGTGAAGAATCAAGTTTACTTGAGAGCTTACGCAGGTACCTGTGGTAACGCTGGAGGGTTCCATGGCTGATGTATAAAAATGGACGCTACCTGCCGATGATCAGATTTTTCAACGACTGACAATAGTGCTTGAAGCTATCGTCGCACTTCAATTAGCCCGAATAAAGTGTTCCGTCTTAAACATGCTCACTGCTGCCATTTCGACAACTGTTTACAAATGCATATCCAATCAAGTAATTAGGTGCAACTGAATTAATCAAACAGACATTTAGCCCAGGGAAAGCATAAAGTATGTTGATCATTGTCTTTAACTGTAATTTACTGTTGTGAAACTGAAATGAACTGGACACAAATTGCCCTTTCTCTCAGTGTGATTTTTACAGTGAAAAGGGGGACACTTTTTTCATTCCACTTCAATTAATCTCACTAGTAGACTCGCAATAATTCTAACTCTGTTAATTCATACTTTTGGCTAATTCAAACAAAATTCAATTTTTTCATTGGCTTTCTATTGTTTCAATGTATTTAAAATCCTTTTATTTCAAACTTCATCATTCGGTTAATTCATACTTTTTGCAGTTCCATACCAAAAAATACCTGTTGCTTTCCCACTACTATTTAAAAATTTGCATGCTTACATAATCCTAACAGTCTAAAAATGAAAAATGTGCGCTTCAGGCCTTCAAGGAAAAAGGCTTTGCTAGTGAATGAATGCTTGAACCGAAGCACATGTCTGGTAAACCGTGATGCTTCTGAACTGATATTGAGAGCTTTGTGCTGAAGGCACATATAGCAAAGATGCAGTTGGAAGTTAACGATTACATTAAAAGGTCTGATCAGCAGTAAATGGTCGATAAACTTGGGGACTTTACACCTCGGCCGTCTGTTCATTGTGTGCAGTTAGGTATTACGATTGCTTAATAAGAAATGTTCAAATCTGATAAAATCAATGCCTAATCATGATGTGTGATGTCGCACACAGTCGTATATCTGAGAGCTTCTGATAATTCAAACTTTTGGATGATTAAAACAAAATTCAGAGGTTCTTTGAGTGTTAATTAACGAGAGTCGACAGTAGTACGCTACAGTTAAAGACAACAGGGAACGCCCTGTTGTCTTTAATGCTTTCCCTGGTTTAATTGTCGGTTCAAATACAAGTGGATGTGTCTAACAAATAAATATGTATCCTGGCAGGTTATTAGGTGCAACTTAGCACTTACCCATTCACACGAACAGTCCTGCTCAAAAGTTCCCAGACCACGCTTCCATAGAAATACATGGAATAGTGGCGTGGGAACTTTTCACCCCCCTTGTGTGTCCACACACGCATATACTAAGACCAGTCCCCACAAACAGCACTCTTCTGTGAGTGCGTGTATTGTGCGTGCACATGCGAGGAAGGGCTCAGTTGTTCCTAATAGTACTTTTCTATGACGACTTACCGATTAACCCAGAAGTTACTTCTACTCGGGATATCTGATGCTTTACAAAGTATATGTTCCAGAAAAAATTTTGTTCGAATGTATCCAACAAGAATAGACATACTGTGTCTGCCTCTTTGTAGACTGATACCTCTTGAAAACATTCTGCACGAAAATTGTTGATCGACTTAGATTTGGGCTTGCAGCTTGGCCACCAGGCAGAACATATAAGGCAGAAAGGTCAATGCAGCAGGGTGAAAAAATATTTTCTGATATTATTGAAACAGAAAGGAAAACATTGATATACCTAACAATAAGGTCGTTCAAGCAGAGGAGGTTGCGAATATTCTTGAAAATAGTCTACTTTAAGGTCTTCAGCTCACTTCACTTGGCAAACCGGGTCTTGGTGACGTAGGACAAAATGCTGACTGATCTCATAACGTGAGCATTGTAAAAGAGCAGCGTCTTCACCGTGTAGCTTGGTCTTCTTTATTCAGCTTACATTTTGGGAAAGTTAATACACTCATGACCTTGTTATAACATAGTCACATCTGTCTCAAAAATACTTTGTCATATCCGAAAATTCGTTGTAAATGATTATTTGTAACATCGTACTTATGCAAAGGTATTCACCACTTACTTTGTTATAACAGGTATTTTGTTACATCAAGTTTTGAGTGTGTAATTATTAGCTTCAAATTCATACAACAAAAAAAAAATTTAGCATGCATTTTGAGTGTAAGTTTTGAGTTTTTTATGCAGAAATGTAACACGGCCTATTGCAGAATAATCAGATACATACTAGTTATGATTAGTTAATGAAACTAGCATAAAACAACATATTACCTCATTTTATTTTATGAAATATATACAAATATTCAGTGTCTTGGAATTATAACTTACAAGTTACTGTGTGCTTTCGTTACAGCATGGGGTTACAGTCTTGTAATAATGTTGTGCGAACTGGACGCCTTTGCGGACAAGCTTCAGCCTTGGTGTAATTTATTTTATTGAGCAATCACAGTCAATAGCTGGCATGTCACACAGTCTGTGGTGATGACGGCAGTAGCTAAATAGAGAGGGGTCTCTAAAGAGACACTAAAGGCAACTATTAAGTCGACTGTTGATTGTTAAAATGGCACTCCAATAACCTTTTAGTGTTACTTTTGTGCCAAGGAAGGGCCTATTTTGAAATAAAATCACGTTTTAGTGGTCCGCATCGAGTCCGCATCAAGAAATTACGTTCCTCAAGAAGCAGACTGACCTGACCGACTCACGTCACTGTTGCCGTGCACAACCTTGCCCGGCTTTATTGTGCTAGTAGCAGCAGACAGAACACAGCGGGAGCCACAGCAGCAACAACGTTCATTGATCAATTTCCCGCAATTGGCTTCGAGATTGCAGACCGTTGTTTGTTTCAACTGCGCCCCGCTAGATAGCACCACCTGTCCCGTGTAACCACGCGAAAAAATTTTTGATTCACTCGCGCCATTCACCATAGTAACGTCCGGGGTTCTTTTTTCCATGAATCAAATATAAATGAACTAGACACATTTTTTTGTGTCTCTTGATGCACGGAAGGTTCTTTATTTAGTATAGTTAGATCGATTACTAGTGATTAATTGAAGGCAGTCCGTCTGATGTCAGCGGGATCATTTTGAAGATGTCCTACTGCAGCGCTTGTGTTCTTGTGAATTTACCTTAACTTCTCGGTAAGTAGGGCACTGCTGTTGATAATATTGTCGTTTTAGAAGTTGTCATACATTGAGCTTTCACTCTGACGTAAATTGTGATTTGACTTTACTGTCCCTTTAAAAGCTATGGGAGAAACACAAGTGGTTTTATATGCAATCATTGGCAACCTGCTGCAAGCATCCAAGTAATATTTAGCCCACACATTCATGATAGCATTGCCCACAGATTGTGAACATTTCTTGGTTGTGTGTGTTAACTGCTTGTTGACCCTACAAAATGTGTGGTGGTTAAATTCAGTGCACGATACCTTTCTATCGTTGACTGGTTAAGCAACCTGTCGCTACATTTTCCTGGTTCCAGGAGCACCAAATGAGTGCCCAGTGCGAGGTGTACCTGATCGAACAAGAGCTGACGGAATACGAAGAGACGGCCACGGAATGCTTGCTGGGCACGGCTGAGGAGTCAGGTGTGGCAGACTTTTCCTGATTGGCCATTTCGGAAACGTTTTGTGAAGTGAAATCTCAGTACAGTTAAACCCTTTAAGAGAGACATGCTCTGAAAAGCAGTATTTGTTGCCAGAGTGCCACATATGCATTTTCTTATTTCAGTGTCTCATAAAAAGGATGTACTGCGTAACAGACATCATGGGAAAAAAGAAGGGGGATGTGGATTTCGAAATTTTGTTTCAATTCTTCATCAATAGAGATGATGTTTCGCTGAGTTTATGTATGCATATTTGTGCACCAATTTTAAGTATTTGTGTAGAATATTGTGTCGTTTTTAAATACAGTTGAACTCTTTTATAAGAGTCGTGTGATTGATAGTTGTGGGTCAAAGACTGTGCAAGGCAATTAGCTGCGAAAGTTCAGGCAAAAAACATTTCAGAAGCCATTGCCAGCGACATCAACATGGGGAGTTATGGAAGCTGTGATTGAAGCGCGACTATGTGTGGAGGGAACAAACACTATTAGTGAAAACCAAGTTTGATTGCATTATCCACTGCGCGCAAAATTGTGAGGTGCGCTTTGTCGCTCGTGAACATGTTGAGTGAAGTGTCCAACAGGCAGCGAAATGATGTGGATTACATTTAATGCTGACTTCTTTCGTCAGACGCTGCGAAAACGATGTGCTGTGCAAGGATGCAGTAGCAACAAGCGTATGCCTGGCGACTCATGTCTTCAAGATAAGAAACAAGGGCAATAGTTCATAATACAGTGCTCGCTGGACTTTCATGCATCAGTATTTCTACAGCCCTGTTTTGTTCTAGAGCATGCAGTGCCTACTATTATTCGCGTTATCGGTGATCAGATCGCCAAGTTGCCTATCACGCTACAATTTGCATGTCGGCACTCCCATACGAACTGGTAATTGATCGAAGCATAAGGGAAACAAAATAAAGTTAACGCAAGTAGGGTCTGCAGACCTTTTTGGGCTTATTACTATTGTGTGCAGTGGAACTGTACACGATTATTGTGACCATTCAATTAAACTGAAATGTCATAATTCTGGCATATCTAGGCATCATTTCTTCCTGTTAAAACTGAAGAACACAAGCATTGTACATGCTATGTGTGGAGCAAATATGCAACGCTGCAGATGTGACAGGTGTACACTGTTGATTGCTTTAATTCACCTGCAGAAGATGCGACAAATGCCGAATAAAAGTTCGGAAAATAAGTTTCCTTGTAAAAACGAGCCAAAGCGAACGGTAATACATTTAAACATCATTATTTAGTCATCAGTCGGTACAGTATTGGATTAGCTGGCATCGACTTGATGCACACTCGTGGAGGACTCGCCAGCGATCGCCTTAGCACAAGTCCTTAGCGATCAGGAGGCCTATGAAAAGTAACTTGAGATCAAGTTTCACGCTAGTGCACACTAAATGGCGTGACTTGTTTACCAGCAATTGCGTCACATCTACTTAATTTTTTGCTCCACCGCAAGTGTTTTCTTTTCACGCAGATGGTACTAAGCCCCATGAGTAGCTAATCAGCGGCCATTTTCTGAATGTATGGGCTTATATGGAGCCTTCCCTACCAGTTGTAACTACTTTGGACAGTGTGTCAACATTGGAACAGGGTTTGGTCAGACAATGATAATGTGGTAACCGGCTATAGTCGGTGACAACTTATATTTTTATCCATCGGCGCCCCGCAGTGCACAAAGGAGTTGGAGCAGGGGGGGTTACATCAATGAAGAAAACACAAGTTTGTTCACTCACATAATACAGCTTCGTTCACTCGTAAATACATCTTTGCTCACATTATAGTATGGCGTTACAGCATTGAATAAAATATATCTTTGCTCTTACTATGTACTTGCTTTTAAGCTAGTCCATTCCACTGTTTAGTTATTCTAGAAAAAATTGAGTTGGCATACATGTTCGTTTTAGCTGGGTATTCTAGAATTTCACAACTATGTTCACAGCATTTTGAAGTGTAATGAGGTTTGTGTGCATAAATTTCTTTGTTAATTTCAGTTTTTTTATAGTAAATCAAATAAACCACTTCTAATCTCTGTTTATGGCAGCGGTCAAAAGGGATATTCTCATCCTAGCTCAACCTTAACTGCAGGGCAGCTCTTCCTCCTTTCGTACGGTCCCAAGACGAACCTGGCGATTTTGTATTTGCTCAAGAGCAGCGTGATGGTTGACACTGGAGTGAAGACTACCACAGATTTGTGTTACTATGCAAGTACCGTATGGCAGCTTGAGCCTGATTTCCGTTTTGCTCGCCCACATCGTTAATTCACTTTGAAGAAGGTTATGTTCACCCTAATGTGGATGGGAGAAACATTTTGATGGTTCAGTGTACATTTATTGTCGTATTATGGGTAAATTTTTTTGGAGAGCTAGACAGCTCGTTCCCGGTCGCACACTGATCCCACTATGTCATGGACGCCATGTTCACCTTGGAAAACGGGCGTGCTGAAAGGATGGTGCAAAGAATTGGAAAGTAGAGGAAGGCATTCCTGCAAAGTGAACAATAACCGTATTTCCCCTACGACTTCGCACAGCGATTAGTCTCTCACAGTAAAAAAAGTGGCATTTATATAAGCAAGGCAATCAAGGTAATTAGCATTAAACTGAAGTACCATTTTTCACGCGCTAGCAGGCATGCACTTTGCTTGTGTAGCTCTACAGTGCTGTCAAAAAAAGTTGATGACTGGTACGTGTCACTTTGCTATCCTCCATAACCATGGGCATGTCCGTATTCCAGAATGAGCTTTTATGGCTGGCGTGATAGAAGATCTCTTGGATTCAGTGACATCCTTCTCATTTGACCACTTATGGTGCCTTCAAGCTTTCATCTTCAAGGAATCGAGCGTTGGACGAGTTGCTATTGCAATGTAAATGGCATTTTGCGCAAAAATAAACATGAACAAGAAGGTAACAAAGCACACATCCGCAATTTTCATCTTCTTATGATCTGCTGCTCGTGTAGCCTTGTGTCTTTGCATACACTCCAGAAGGGAGCAGATTTGCACTTATCTTTTTCTTGTGCCGCTTCTTCCCAAGCATTGTCGTGTGATACAACAGGACGGCATAGGTTCCACTGCACCACTCGGCTGCCAACTACAAATGCAGTGTGTACATTGTACGCTGCCAGGTGCCGGGTGTATTCAATCAGTGGCGTCAGTGTACTAAAGCATGAGCTGTGTATGCTTGTGCCAGTGTGCTAAGCTTGGCTCCTGAAAGCAGAAGGAGTTAGTTGACTGCATAGCTCTTAAACATGAGGCGGACTTATGCACAACTCTGCTTTTGAAGCATACACATACCTGCCAAATCTCCCGGATTTCGACCGTTTTTTCCGGTTGTACGATTGTCATGAAAATCTTCCGGAAATCGAAATTTCTGTGCATGATCTGGCCGCATAGACAAAAAAAGCAGCTCAATTGGCTCCAGGCTTTTCGAATCTACCCCATTTTATTATGAGTTTAAGAGGCATTCATGTTAACATGCAGCATAATCTCACTGATGCAAAATCGCGGTAGATAATAATTCTTGAAAATCCCCAAGCCAAATTCCACTATGTTCACTGGGCCTCAATTCGAATGTTCCGAACACATTTCCTAATCGCGGCGGGTGATACGAACTTTAGTATGGAAACCGTCAAACGAAGGCCGAGAGCAGCGCACTCGAAGCTTCGGAAGTACGCGTGCGACAAGCGTATGCACTGTCTTCTACAGTGCCTGTGATTGACGTTGCCACGACCGCTGCGGACGAAACCGCGGGAACTCCGAAAGCGTGCGCTCAACCAGTCAAAGCAATGCTGCTTTACGCAAACTCTATGAACAAAACTGCAGCAGATGCTATTGTAGATGGCATAAAATGACTTAGTTTTGAAGGCACGTGCGCAGCCAAACACACGGGAATCGTAAAATGAACTACCGTTTGCCAAAACCGCCGCGCACAAAACCGTGGTCATGGCGGCGCGATAGCGATCTACGAGCTCTGAGGGCACGCAGTGGTAGGTTAAAGGCAGTAAGTACGTAAAAATTTTTAAAAAGTTACAGTTTCGCCGCAAGGGCAAAACAATAAATGCGACAACAACAACTTTGAATGTAACGCTGAAAACGGCTAGCAGATCGTAACGTGCAACGCGCTGCTCACACACAAATGACGCACGAAAACGATACTCGCAGGACGAGAGCGAACTAACAACGTTTACCGCTGGACACGTAATGCGCTGTTTAAACAAAAACGGTGCACGATACGTAATCACAGGTACAGATGAGTAGAAACTAACAAGTGTCCCAGTTGTTATACCACGCTGTGTGAAAAGCGCGCTTTTTCGCAAAAGGGGCCTGTGTAGAGACCGACGTGACCTTTGTGGGCCCCACAACTAACGCTTTCATTTCAGTGAAAGCCGAAGGCACCCGATTCTCCCACAAAAGGATAAGCATGCGCGCATAGGCATCATCCATGGGGCAAAGTATACGCGAGAGATAAGCAAGCGACGAGCTCGGCGGCAAGCGCGGGCGGCGTTTTTTCTTTGAGTGTTCATATAATAGATACGTATAGATATACGGTGAAGGACGGCGGCGACGGCAAAAAAACAGCCTGGACTGTCCATATAATTGCTATCACAATAAAAAGGGGTCAGACGCGTTTTGGCATTCCTGCCAAACGAATCTAGTAGTGAGCAGAGCTTTGATCCGCGCTTTTGTGGCAGCCAGCTGCGCCGTTACGTCCGTTCACGTGTGTCCCAGGAAGACATACACAAGTTGTTTTAACTAAAATAGATTCTGCTAGTTGTGTTGATCCTTTGAGACTCTCACCTTAGTGAAAAACTCTACCCTTGTGTGTTCGGCGACTCCTAGCCACTATAAGACCGCAACGCTATAACCCGCAACACTATAAGACCGCAACACTATAAGACCTCTTCCCAACCCCTTCCGTTTTTCGCGATGGTTTTTTTTTTTATGTCCTTGTTTTTTTGTTGTTGTTTTTTGTACCGTGCAACCCCCCCTCGTCCTTGCAGAAATCTCCCAGATTCAGAATCCTTGAACTTGGCGGGTATGCATACATGTTCACCTGACCATGCACCCATCACAAATCACTCGCCAAATAATTGAAGTGCATTGCATAGTGAGAGTGTATAGCATGAGTGTGCATGTTTGATGAGATTTACGAGTAAAGCCTCGTCGGAAGTTAGTGCTCTGTCCTCTTGTGTCGGTCTGCTAGGCCATTTTTTCTTTACCGTAATGCACTATATTAGTTATAGCTTGGTAGCATTTGACCATTCTGTGCAGAAGCCATACTGATTTGCATGTGTGGCTACTTGTGTTCAGAGCCAACTGAGGAAACTCTGGAAGAGACGTATGCGGAGGAAGAGGCACAGCTGCTGGAGCTGCCTGGCAATCAGTATGCTGCCGTCACAACTGCTGCAGATGAAACTGAGGCTACAGCTGAGGTCAGCATAAATAATACCTGTATCACACAGGCATTTGGAGTGCCTTCCAGTTTACTCAAAGGTAAAGTTAGAGCTGCAACGCAGGTGGTTTCAGAAGTGTGTAAATCAAAAGTTTGGTGATTCAATTGAATGTCCTATAACTCTACCAAAACTTAAAGGGCTTTTGAGCAATGGAAATGTACAGAGCACCACAGTTTTGCCACTCAACAAGTTAAAAAAAAAAAAATTTCAACAATGTATAAGCAATTCATTAAAATGTTCAAACAAAAATAAATTTAATTTTTGTGCTTTTGTTGATTTGGTGTTCTTTAACTTTTGTGACATGAAAATGAAAATAACTGTATGCAGCACCACAGTTTTTGTGAGAGCTTCGTAAACTTCCGAACCCTGAACTCCTGAACCTTCTTCGAAATTTGTGAACAGCTTTTCAGAACTGCTGTGTAGTAGGCCCACAAGTTATTTCAACTGTTGTGTCATTTTGAAAGGCTGTCGACATGAAGGCTTTAATTAGAAGCGAGCCTGTGTGACAGGAATATAAATACTCCGGTAATGGTTCAGGGATGCACACTCTGTAAATATTGGCTGTTGCCTTGCGACTTGCAGCGTTTCCCAGCCCAAGTGAAATGTGTGGCAGGTACAAACGCATGGGCAAGTTGTGCTGTTATGTGATTGCAGTCACGCAATAATAACATGTGAGGTATGAGCCTTGAAGGCTGACAAAGAAGCTTCAGAAGGGGCTAGAAAGCAATGGAACAAAAATGTTGGTGTGACATTAAAAGATTTTTAAAGCCAAGGTTATTCTTCATATATTTTGTCATAATGTTGTCTTGAGTCTTAATTATCAAGAGCATAATAAGGATGACTGCCAGTTGGGCGTGTTGGTAAAGGTTCATGATGAAACGAGCGCGAAAAATACACACACTCAGAGAGGACACAGACAAGCGCTTTATTTCGAATTTTATTTTGAAGCGAACACTAATAAATACATCACACGCATGTATGTCATTCCCGACTTCCCCTGTCATCATCAAAAACTTGATATAACAAAATATGCACTCCCATACTCTATGGCACAAAACCGGAAACGTGTCAAGAACGAAGAAAAGAAAAAGTAAAACAGAAAAAAACCAAAAAAACACGTCAAACAGAAAAAGCAAAAAAAGCAAGAAAGCAAAAAACACTGAGTTATGTGACGTCCAAAAAAGCGAATTCCGCATCTGTTAGTAGAACTGACGCTTGACTGACGCAACTGTCTTCTCCTTTCCTTATTCTATATGCTTCCATTATTTCTCTCGTCGTCCCCTTGTTGTGCCTGTCAATTATTCGTGTGTCAGAAAATTTCGGCTAGCAGGTGCACTCCTTGCAGTGCATCTCTAAGTGTGAGTAAGGGGCCCCCTTTAGTGAACTCTCATGTTCACGAAGGCGCCCATTTATGCACCAACCCGTCTGACCAACGTATTCCTTTCCACATGTAAAAGGAGTTCCGTATACAACATCTTTTTTGCACTCAAGGTACCTCCTGCCATGTTTTATGCTACATCTGTTCGATTCTCCGGTTCCCTTCTTTTTGACTAGCCTTTCTACTGCTGGACAAGTTTTTGATAATTTGTTTTCAGCTGAAAAAACAACCCGCACGCCATACCTCAATGCAAGCACGCCTTCCTTAATGTGTATTTTTCGCGCTTGTTTCATCATGAGCATAATAAGGAATGTGTATTTCAACTTTCTAGTACTTAGGGTAACATCAGGAGTTGCTATAAAATGCCAATGTTCTTTGCAGGTGCCCGACCACAAGACACACATTGCTGAGGTGCAAGATGCCAGCCATCTGCTCGCCTAATCCAGAATCTTATCACACTTTCTACCAAGCAATGCCCTACATGTGGACAAGCCTGGGTTTGCATAGTGAAGTCATCTGTGTATATGTATATATATATATGTGTGTGTGTGTGTGTGCAGAATGGGCAGAGGGCAGCTGCTAGGCACAGTCACTGAAGAACTGAAGGGTGATTAATTGTGTGCAGATGCAGTGCCAATTCAATGCTCTCGTCAGGAAGTGTGCATTCAAGCTAACTGTGACATACGGACTTGTGACACCTGCAATTGACTGGATGTTTATCATGTGCATTCCAAATGCGTGTGCAATGATCTAAGCACTACCTGTACAAAGTATTATGAATCGAAAATGATCCGACACAGTTAAACAGTTTTATTTTCTTCTTGATTCAATTTTCTTACAGCTGCAAGCATGCAGTTGTTTTCTAACATGATAGTCAGCAATTCTCTGCATAAGTTGGAGCTCATTGACAAGCATAGATAGAACAGTTGAAAAATATCTTACAGTCGATCACTCTACAATAGACACATGAAAACAGCAGTCTGCCAGAACTGTTTGATTTTGAGGGAGAATAGTTAGATCGTTGGAAGTTTAGCAAACAAAATAAAGTGCCTAAGAACAATTTCCTGCCCTCTGCTGTATCCTGGCAGGAGACAAGTGCCCTGTTTTTTCCAGGGCTCTATGAACAGCCCAGACTTTGAAAGCTCTCAGTACACTGTTCACAGCTTTAATATTTATGCATGTCATGCAGTGAAAAAGAGTCGTGCAGTGATGTGGGTACTGAGGCTAAGACAGGCAAAGCCACGATTTAACTCGTAGTCCCGTGCAGTGATAACGAGTACAAGAAAGGGGCTCAATAGACCGAAAAATAGGGTCATGCTTTCTTACTTTTTTATAAACATGAATATTTGGGAGGGCCCCTCACACAGTAGGAAAGCAGCAACGTGGAACCATACAGGCTTCACACTTTTTCTTCAAAAAAGAATAAATTTTTTCAACAAAAAAAAGAAGAAACTGCGACCCTACATCAAGGCAATTTGGACTCTACCTTGTGCTTTAGTGAGTCTGCACATGAATGCAGCCCAGGTTTACTAGTAGCACAGCGTGCTTGTGAGCATTCGTATCTGTATTTCTGTATTACATTTTTCTCTAGCAATGCCAATTATGGGATTCGAAGCGGCACCCTTTCGGGTACAAACTGAATGCCATATGCACTCATCTACCCACAAGACTCAAGAAAACAGTGTTTGGAAGTTGGTCTGCTTAATACAGCAGTCCGCACATAAAAATTAAGATGTAGATTTGTGTCTTTAAGCTTCTGTAAGCACATTCGCCTCTCGCTCTCATTTTTTTTTTCTACTAATGCTGTCAACGTGATTCGAACCCATGCCCTTTTCAGTTTAAAAGTCTGCAAAAGCACTAAAAACGTGCTCTACAAGTTCGCCTGTGTGTTGCGGAGCCCTTTCAGCAGATTCCTTGCACCTTGGGAATCGACGTTATGCAAAGCATGCGGATGGAAGGTGACTGTGTTGTAATTTTTTATTGAGCAGAATGTTACAAACTGATGTTAAAGATATCCACAAATGTTGTACACACAGATGTATGTTTATATGTCGCATATGTTTTATACAGCCCAGTGTTTACAGTTGCATAATGATGCCATGGGTACTACCAACCCACAAAACAGGCGAGCAATGTAGTGCTTGTGCTTGCATTGATGGTAGATCGGGATAGCGCTATATAGACCAACTTCAGTGGGTGGCACTTAACTACAATTGACGCTTACCTGACGTGACCCCTGTATCAGCCATGAACTCATCTCTGAGTTCATCAGTGGCAGACTCACTTGCTGGTCCTGTGTGGGGTCGTGACGAGTCTGTTTCCTGCTGGTCGCCATTGCTTGGATGTTGCTCAAGGGGTTTCAGGTCTACATGATCGTCATTGAGCCCATGGACGGCCTCTGGTCAGGCATGTAGTGGTTCTGCAGCCTGGCATATATCGCTCCTGCTGTCATCGTCTCCATCGCAGCCATCATCAATACGTACAGGTTCGACACCTCCAGCTACTGCTGGCTGGAGTCGCAAAACTACTTCATCCTCAGCTGCATCGTTGGTGTTGTCACTATTCTAGAATCGAAGAGCTCCCAGGAAAAAAATGCACTTGGATGTCTTTGAGCCTCTAATGAATATCTTAGGTAAATTTTTTCTTTCAAGTAGTGTACATTATCTAGATTAAGGTTTATGCAAACAGCGTATTTTTGAAGCCTCTATGTGGCCTTTAAAAAGAATGTGCAACCTATATATATGCATTGAAAGTGTGTTGGTACTACATACCTTATAAAATTCTGTTGATGTCTTAGGCCTTAGTGATAAATTAATATGTGCTGCTGGCCGGTTTCTCATGCAAGCTTGTAAGAGTGCTGGTATCCATTCAAAGGAAACCTCTTTTGGGGTAGCTTAAAGGGGCCCTGCAACACTTTTTGAGCATGGTCAGAAAACGCTGCCGATTGGTAGTAAAGGCTCCTGACCGCACGCAAGCCAATTATTACAGCGCAGCACGCGGCCTGGAATTCCAATAAAATCAGCTAAAAATTGCTTTCTCTTTTCTCGGCAAATCACGGAAGATGCTCAAAAATTACTCCTAAAGAGCCAATCTATCAGCCATTGGCTGATTTGAAGATAGTGCACTCAGTTGTTACAGAAATCGCCGCGGGAGGCCGCGACTTATCCACACATGCGCGCATGATCACACTGAAAAGGTCGCGCATTCAAAGAAAAAAGTGCTCAAGGTCATGAGGTGCACATGACGTTTTTCTGTTTCCCTACCATCCCTCCCTGCTTAGCTTCCAGCGCTTTCGTCAGGACAAGAGAAGAGAATGCAATTGCAGCATGCGAGAATCTTTGTAACTCCACTCCCACTGGACGGACTCTTAAAATTTTTGTAGCATTTAATTCATAAGGCAATAAGCTCTTCCAGTGAATTCATCCTATAGTTACCTGAAAAATTGTTTCAATGCTTGTTTAAGATGGGCTACAAGAAGGACTGTTGAAACTGGAGACAGTGTGGTGTTATGGATTATGAACAGCTGGCAACTGGCTGAGAATTTCTGCTAATGTCTAGAAATAGTAACTTCGCAGTATTTGCAAGCAATCTTGTCTCCCTGGTCTGTGTCATCTTCCTGTGCATCTCGGCCCGTGTCCTGTGTCAGCAAGGGAGCACCACGACTGCAGTCAAGTGCAAGGAAAAAGCCAAGCTTTGTAGAGTTTGGTACGTTGTTTCGGTCTTGTATTACAATCAATCAATCAGTGCATCAGTTTTATTTCCGTTTATTATCAGCTAGAACAAAGTGAATCTATCTGCAAAGCCACTTGTACATGATCACAAAAAAGTGGGATGCACTGCAGGTCACACTTGTAATGTCATGATGGGTACGTTCAAGCATACAGTACACTCTAACATAGTTGCATAAACACCATCTTCACCGATTCACTATTAGTAAGACATAATTGTAACATACGTGAATATAGTATATTATTCTGTCTAACAAACTAAGCATGGAACTCTTGCTGTGTTAGCATGTTGTGTGTTCATTCTTGTTACCATCATCAAAAGTAATAAGTCAACTCAAACCAGTTTATTGGATCCATGGTTTTATGTTCTGTGCTTCTTGCAATCTGGAGGCTGTCGAACTCGAGATCTCGCAAAAGCGTCACGTAGTTAGCACTATACATTCTAGGTTTGATGCGCTGCGTCCTTTCTTTCGGGCGTACGCACACATCCGTGGAATATATATGTTACAAACTGCACATGTGCACTTCTTTTCCATAACCATGCTGCGTACGTAGGCTTGTTACGCGTGCCCAACTAAAAATGTCTATTAAAAATATTAAATGCGCAGTACTACGAGCCATGGGTGCACCACAGATTCCAAGAAACAATTACCGCATCCTCTCTGGGCTTTTCCTCCATAGTGTTTGTTGTTACGTTGACCTTCGTGTCTGGTCATGTCATCCACAAAAATGTAAGGGACCCTTAAGCTTTGCCGTTCAAAGTTGAACGTGATAGCAACATCCTATTCCTAGTGAAAACTTTAACCACGTAGATAATACTATTTTATTACATGATGTTACTCAAAAACATTGCATCCTGTGCCGTGCTGAATAGCCGGTTGCTTATAGTTGTCAGTTCATAACCAACAGGTTGGTGGTTCAAATGACACAGCTGGGATGGCTGGAACACCAGGAAGTCACCCAAACATCTTACTGGCAAAACTTGATCATATGAGCTGCCACATAATTTGTGAAACTGGACAAAAGTTATGCAGACAACAACACTGTGGGTGGGTCTTGTAGTCCATTAAAATGTGATGCGCTTTTGTGTATCTATATGTTTATTTCATAAAAAAGTGTTTTTTTTTTTATATAAATCTAGGGTACGTACAATAGAGCGGCATGGGACATTGAGGCCTACAGGCCCGATGCCTCCATGTGACCACAAGGTGGTAACTTGGTGGCATTATGTTCTCAATTGGACATTATGTTCTCTATCGTAGTTTATTATCACATTAAAGGTGTCAGTGAACGAAAAAGCACCCCTTTTTATTGGCAAGATTTGAACTAACAATGTTCAAATTACGCCTCTGGTGTTTTTCCTTGCAAACTGTGATGATGGGCACATCTGTGTCCACCATGCTTGATATCCCTGTGTTTGCCAGCACCACTTGTGTGGGAAGTGGCGAGTGTAAAACCCGAGCGTTGGACGAGACTGCTGCATGCTGAACCCTCATATGGTGGCCTAAAGTGTGAACTCTGCCGAGTCAGGCCCTCGCTGTGAACAAAATGACAATTTTTAGAGGCACTGCCAAATCTTTGTGAGGCACTGCCAAATAAATCAGTAATCCGAAGGAAAGCATAGAGGACGTAGTCTCTAACTGTAGTGCAGTAATTTTGGTGTAAATTAAGAGTGATCGAAAAATCTGCCTCTTTGGGTGCAGTTAAAACCCACAACCTTTGAATATTGCTTAAAATGTTTTACCAATTAAAGATAAAAGAATTCCCAATCTATCGTTCTTCTCTAGGCCAAGCTATTTTTTGGCCTTGTCAAACATTGTGTCCCACCGTGGACTTTCATTACTGAGCATACGTACCCTGTGTATCTGTGAAATCATTGTGTTCTTGTAGTTTCTCGGCCATCGATCCCATCCACTGGATGCTACGTCCAAACCCGCATGGCTTTCTCATCCGGCCTGTGCCTCTTGGATGGGCATGGTAATCCTCAAGTTACCCCTGTCCTGTGGCCATGGCGTGTCTGCGGCCTGAAGGGTTCACCTCCCGGTTTTTGCCTCTAGCCTGCCTTCTGGTGAATGCATCATACAGGGAAATCCATCACTGTGGTCTGCCCTTCGGTCTTCACTCCATGTGAGGACCCCAGTCAATGTTGCTGTTTGTCATCACTCTACTGTGACCACCAGCAGATGAAGTGTGGGTGTTGCCTCCATGAGACATGCCCGTGATTTCTGGATCCACCGTGGCCTACTAACTTCCCTTAAACAGCTGTGCAACAGCTTCACGTCGGTGATCTACAACCTGTTATTGTAAACAGCTGTTTTAAAGATAGTCCCAGGACTTACAGGATCTATTGTGCCTCAAAATGGTATGCTTTTCACTGGCCATACAGTGAATCCAGTGTTTTTAGCAGCTGTGTCAAATATATTTTACCAATATTGTGAATTTATTCGCACAAGCTTAAAATTTGGTACAATGTTTCACCATCACGCTCACATATTTCATGACCATATGCACCTTCAGTGTGATCGGCAGACCCATGTGCATGTTTTAGGTCATGATAGAGGCATCTGTTCACACTGCGTAATGTAGTGGCATATTGACGCTGGTTTGCATTAAACTGCATAAAAAGCCGGCCAACTTGGTACAGATTCATCTATCTGTATGACAAAGAGCCTACATTCTGGGTGTGCACGTGCGTTTAGCATATCTTGGGCAACACTCTTTAAGTTCAGCCATACACGGCTCAACTTGGTGCTTCTTTGATTCGGTTTTGAGGTTATTGTGCGGGCGCTTTCAGCAAGTCCTCTGTACAAATAAGTGGTTCAGCTGAAGCATCACCAGTCGTTGGGTGCGAGCTATAGTGTTCGCTTCTTTGGAATCCGTTTGCTTCAGACATCCTGGTTGGATGGCATCCGGAGCCTTGGTCCAATGTTAACGCTTAGACAGGTGCTTGCAATTCACGTCCTCATCCAAGTACCCATTGCACCTTTCCCTAATATTTCTGCTGGTATATGTTTTCCAACTTGGCAATCATCATTGCATGCTTTGGGAATGTCAGTGAACATGTAAAAGCACAAATATGCCAAAAAGGGCACAGTGTGGGGGCGGGCCATAATCATAGAAAAAACTTGCAGTTTGATGGGAGCCTGTTTGAACGTGTCCAACTCGTAATGTTTACCTTTATATTTTGTCTCTTCCTGCTATACAGGGAAATATATACCAGGGTCAGGGGACAATGAGTACAGTGTGGCAGCAAGGCAGGGTTATTTGCTCTTAGTGAAGACTTTTCGGTCATGAAGTTCTAAAATGTTAAGTTGCAGATCGGGGAATCGTACATGCCTCCCGAGGTAGCCTTGGTGACTAATGAAATCTAGTCTTGTGCATGCACTGGGCAACGTTCTCCATTTGGTGAGGTCGCTGCCCATTCACCTGTCATCAGCCTGGAGTGCATGCCCAATGGTGCAGGCACGTGTGTATCTGCCTTTATGGAGGAAATTTTGCTGTTTTTTGAAGTTGTATCAGTTAGTCTAGTATGGTGCAGAGATTAATCTGAAGCCATTATCAGTGTGACATCGTTCAATCAAAATGAATGCTTAGAAGTGTTTGTGACAAATGGCCTTTTATTTGCTGCTCTTCATATGTACTGCTGTACATTGTTTCTTTCTAGTATTGCTCCAGATCTATGAAGTGCTTTTAGGCATCTACCTTTGTATTTTTTTTCGCTTCCTTTGACTAACACTTATTGTCACTAAAAGGGTCGTTCGATTGAGAGTATGCATCAGTACGCAAATATTTTGTCTATTCTAATGCATAGTGCTACCATATGTCGTCTTTGCCCAGTGAAGTGTGAATGCCCATTGAGCTTCCATATTTGTCTCCAGACCATAGCTACAGCTTACCAAACATATTTTCAAAAGGCTTCTGCTGTCGTGATAGTTTGTATTGTTGCTGTTCCAAAAACAAATTGTGGTTGCTCAGACTTGTTCAAATAAAACATGCATTCTATGTTATTTTTCTTAATTAGTGTTCTTTGGTGTTCAACTCATAGAGCACTTCTCCGAAGAATCGGGCTTGCCATGCTCGTTAAGGTGGCAGAGATTGTGGACTTTTATAATTGTCATACATAAAATACTTTGTTACGAATGATACATCGCCAACATGCAATGGTACATTTAAAAAATTGACATCCAGACAAAAGTTCGAAAAATGGAGGATCTAAGAGATCAATATTCAACATGACATGCTGCCAGAATCGTTTCCACAAGCAAGCTAGTTGCTTGTCCTATGCAGTCCCTAATATAGAATGGCCAATCTTTTTCAATCTGTTAGTTCAAGTTTTAACGGTGAAATGTCAGATTTTGATGTTCAGTGGGCTGGTCTACAGCTGAATTTACAGATGCGATCTCTCTACTTTGAATATACAGCTCTGCTGTGTCACAGTAGGCATTGCATAATGCTGCCTGGTGTGCCACAATGGCCACTTGTAAAGCAGTGAAAGAGCATCTGCCTTCTGGGACTGGGCATGCCTGAATTTCCACTTTTGTAGGCAACATTTGATGTACACAGCTCTTCCATACCTGCTTGGATCATTGCCGAACTGAGCGAGTTTGGTTCGAGAGTAAAGTGGAAGGAGGCCCTGGTATCCTGAAAGGTTTGAATAAAGTTCATTAAGGTAAGTTAATGGTGTAGACAGCAACTGACTAGCAAATAAGGTGCTGAAAGTAACCTTTCTCCGGCTGGTATGTCCCAGAATTTAGCTAATTCATTGGAATTCTCGGGGAAGCTTTTAGAAAGGTAAGTTTGGCCACCCTTTGTTACTGGCTGCTACCAATCGGGGGCACAGCCACTGGAGTAGCAGTTTCCCCCGTATCACAGCAGCCCCCTCAGCTCATTTCACTTTGAGCGTTAAAAACCACTAAAACACTGTAGGCATAGCTATAAGGAAAAAGATATACTTGCTATCTGCGATATATAACCCCACCTAAACGACCTCCAGGTTCTGCTGGTTTTTAGCCGTTGTACGGCACCGTAGTGCAATGAATATACGACATGTACGCTCATAGTTTCGGCTTATGTATTGTATCCGATAGTAAGCTTAGTACCTTTAAATAAACGAATCTCCGCGTGCTGGTGTTTCCGGCATTGCGAGTCCAAAAAAAGTGCGTGTTCGATGCCACAAATGCCCGCTTCTGAACTGAAAATTCCCCTGATGGATTTGATTCACCACAACGCACGTTGAAAACAAGTAAAAAATGTTGAGGCCTTCATTAGCCCCGGAAAGCCCAAACTTTTGTCAGACGCTTCACCCTTCGTTGATGGAGTTAACTGCATTCCTAACTGGTTCGGCTTCTTGGTACAATATATACTGGATGAGCGTAATGTATTTTTAAATTTTCCGCCATCGCTGCCACAAAACAACACACCACGAGTGGTCGGCTTCTCTTCAATAAAAAACGCGGGAAAATGTTTTCACCCACAAAGAGAGCGTACCATTATTTAAATTTTCCGCCGTCTGACGTCAAGTGGGCGTAAGCGTACCACAATTTAAATGTCCCCCCCGTATGACATCGCATCTAACACGTTGGCGTACTCTACGTTTGTTTCGAGCTGAAACATCACATGAGAAGTTGGCTTCCCCGCAATAAAGGGACAAACCCAGAAAAAAACGTTTAGGCCTTTATCAGTCCTGATAAGGCTAAACTTTTGTCTGACGTCACACGTTATCACGCGGCCCAGGCATATTGGATTGAATTGGATAAACTTTTATTTGGTCCTCCAAAACACAGATCACTGTGTTGCGGGCAGCTCCTACGTGGGGACTGAGATGCCAAGCTCCTCAGCCGCCTCGCGGGCTTGGTGGACAGCCCAGAGCTGATCTGCCAAGGACGAGCTGCGGATTGCCGCCTCCCATCTCGCAGGGGTGATCTTCTATATATGAGCGAATTTGGTGCACTGCCAGAGCATGTGTTCTAATGAAGCTATTTCCCCACAATGTGGACAAAAATTACTTGGTTATAGGTCAGGGTACATGATGTGTAACATTTTCAAAGTCGGGTACATCCGCGTTTGCAAAAGCCTTAATGTAAGTGCTTGGGGCCGGATTAGATTTTTGTGAGGTGGAGGGAAAATCCTTCTAGACAGGTAGAAATGTTTAGTGAGCTCGTTATATGTTGTAAGAATTTCCCAGTTATCCCCTTCACCGGTAGAACGCATCCCCGGGGAGGCACGGTTCGAGAGTGCTGCTTTATTGAGATTGGGAGGAAAATCGTTGATTTACCCAAGGTGAGCTGGGAACCAACTCAGAAGATGATGCGTTATGTTCTTGCCTTCCAGTATTTTCAGCGTTTGTTCAGAGACCATCCCCTTGGCGAACGCCCGTAGCGCTGCAATGGAATCACTGCATAAGTGTACCACGATATTTGACCACGAATGCTGAAGTAAGCCCCGTTCGAACCGGCATGGAGTAGCAGACAAACATGTAATAGGTATAGGTAGCGCCACCAACGGTGAGCGGTTGAACGAAAGTGGATGCATTCCTTCCATTGGAACCCCGTCACCTGGGCAGGCACAGGAGTACAGTAGGGCGTTTTCGGGGCATCGAGAACGCACTTTGGTGGACTAAACCTGCAAGAAATACTAGAAAACAGGACACGTAGGTGATTGTTTGATTAAAAATACTACGCTCATCAACCAATTGATTAGCTATGCCGAAGCCCTTGACGTACACCTTCTGTCCTCGCTGTGTAAAGGGGACTTCCTCGAAGGACCAACCGGCACAGCACTGAGGTCGCTTAGGCAGGGGTATATATATATATCCGAGAGTGAGTATAACCTTTTTACTCACTGGTTCCTCTGAGCGAAAGCGCCTAACGCGAATTTGCAACTTTTAAAACTTAAAGTAAAAAGTGATAAAAGAAATATACTTGCGATCAAATATATATACCCCTCATAAGACGACCTCCGATTGGTGCCAGTTTTAGGTTAATGTGCAGCAACGTTACTGAAAGAATACACATGATGTACGTTCACGGCCCAGCCATTATTAATCTACCCAAGGACGATATATAACGGATAAGCGTAAGGTATTTTTAAATTTTCCGCCACGGTACCCAAAATGCAGCATACTGCAAGTGGTTGGCTTCTCCTCAATACAGACCGTGGGAAAAATTTTTTGCCCGTGTTTGACCCCTTGAGACGAAAAAATGAGCAAGATAGCGTGACGCTGTTTAAATTTCCCGCTGCCGGGTCCGGTTTGCGAAGCTTAGCCAGTGGAAACGCATGGACACTACGGAAAATTAGAGTTTTTTTTGCCCGTAGTGTCGATGCGTTTCTACTTGCTAATCCGGCACAGCACTGAGGTCGCTTAGGCAGGGGTATATATATATATATTCGAGAGTGAGTATAACCTTTTTACTCACTGGTTCCTCTGAGCGAAAGCGCCTAACGCGAATTTGCAACTTTTAAAACTTAAAGTAAGAAGTGATAAAAGAAATATACTTGCGATCAAATATATATACCCCTCATAAGACGACCTCCGATTGGTGCCAGTTTTAGGTTAATGTGCAGCAACGTTACTGAAAGAATACACATGATGTACGTTCACGGCCCAGCCATTATTAATCTACCCAAGGACGATATATAACGGATAAGCGTAAGGTATTTTTAAATTTCCCGCCACGGTACCCATAATGCAGCATACTGCAAGTGGTTGGCTTCTCCTCAATACAGACCGTGGGAAAATTTTTTTGCCCGTGTTTGACCCCTTGGGACGAAAAAATGAGCAAGATAGCGTGACGCTGTTTAAATTTCCCGCTGCCGGGTCCGGTTTGCGAAGATTAGCAAGTAGAAACGCATCGACACTACGGGCAAAAAAACCTCTAATTTTCCGTAGTGTCCATGCGTTTCCACTTGCTAAGCTTCGCAAACCGGACCCGGCAGCGGGAAATTTAAACAGCGTCACGCTATCTTGCTCATTTTTTCGTCCCAAGGGGTCAAACACGGGCAAAAAAATTTTCCCACGGTCTGTATTGAGGAGAAGCCAACCACTTGCAGTATGCTGCATTATGGGTACCGTGGCGGGAATTATAAAAATACCTTACGCTTATCCGTTATATATCGTCCCAAAAAGACACACAAATTATTGAGATCTATCAGTTCTAGGTGAGACGTCAAATAAAACTTCGTGCTCAGTGGGCCGGATAGGGGCCTCAACTTTTTTACTTGTTTTCACCATGCCCTGCGGCGAAGCCAACCCACCTGAGAAATTTTCTCCTCGGAAGCTGGGTGTTTCTGGCTTTGATTCAATCGCAAAGAATTCCTGATTGACATTTAGCATAACTATATCCGAATCATTTTTATTTGTGCATATAATGACACAATATGAGGGCTCTATCGGCCGAAATATGACCACGAATGCTGAAGTTGACTGTAGCTCCGTTCGAACCGCCATAGAGTAGCAGACGAACATGTAGTGGGTAGCGCCACCAACGGTGAGCGGTTGAACGAAAGTGGATGCACTCCTTCCATTGGAACCCCGTCACCTGGGCAGGCACAGGAGTACAGTAGGGCGTTTTCGGGGCATCGATAACGCACTTTGGTGGACTAAACCTGCAAGAAATACTAGAAAACAGGACACGTAGATCATTGTTTGATTAAAAATACTACGCTCATCAACCAATTGATTAGCTATGCCGAAGCCCTTGACGTACACCTTTTGTCCTCGCTGTGTAAAGGGGACTTCCTCGAAGGACCAACCGGCACAGCACTGAGGTCGCTTAGGCAGGGGTATATATATATATATATCCGAGAGTGAGTATAACCTTTTTACTCACTGGTTCCTCTGAGCGAAAGCGCCTAACGCGAATTTGCAACTTTTAAAACTTAAAGTAAGAAGTGATAAAAGAAATATACTTGCGATCAAATATATATACCCCTCATAAGACGACCTCCGATTGGTGCCAGTTTTAGGTTAATGTGCAGCAACGTTACTGAAAGAATACACATGATGTACGTTCACG